TGAGCAGTAGAACCCTTGCTGATGGATCATCTATTTTGCTATGTTCTATCAATTATCTCGTCTGTCTTGCTGACTGGCATGCTGAACTTTCCATTTACTATAATTACATCCACCTGGCTTCTCACAATCACCAATGCCACGTATCCTCCATTGTTTTGGGGTCCCATTAGGACCACTGCTATCAGTGGGTCCAAGTTTATCATGGTATCTCCTATCTTCATTTCTGGTCTACAAAGGAGAAACACATTGAATTTCTCAGCAATTCCTAGGAACCCTTCCAATAACATATCACTTGTTGCTTTGGCAAATAGAATATCTTCTGGGCCTTTGTACAGAACACAATTAAGTTTCTGCATATTCACTGCATCTTGACTCTGTCTACTTTGGCTATTCTGGAATTTCTCTCACTTTATGTGGGCCATTTCTTCCATACTTCTAGGAGCCACCCTAACTGCATGTTTTCATCACCACCCCAATCCTTATCAGGATGATAAATCCAATATCCTGGGAGTACAAACTCTCCCTTATTCAACTTTATATTTGTATCTGTCCCCTGGCCTCTTATCCCTACCATGAAGCCCTGTTAATTCGCAGACCCTGTGTATTTTCTCAACTCCCACCGCTATGTGTCAGCTAGGTCCTGCAGCTATTTGATGGTATATTACTTTTCCTCTCTTATCAGGTCTACACATCTTTTGATTGATTTGTGTTATGGTTTGAATCGGGAATGTCCCCCACATTCTCATGTTTTGAGTGCTTTGTTCTAGATGGTGGCACTATTTTGGGTTGTGGGTTGTGGAAACTTTGGGAGGTGGGGCTTACTGGAAGAAGAAGGTCAATGGGAGCATGCCTTTGAAGGTAATATTGGGTTCCCAGCCCCTTCTCCCTCCCTTTATCCCTCCCTCCGCTCCTACTCCCCTTCTCCCTTTCTTCCTGTCCACCATGAGGTAAACAAGACCCTCTGTGTCACATTTCTGTCACTGTGATGTTCTACCCAAGTGCATGGGACCAAGCAACCATGGACTGAACCCTCTGAAAGCATGATCCAAAATAAATTCTTCCCCCCCGTTTAAGTTGATTCTACCAGGTATTTTGGTCACAGCAACGGACAAAGGTAACTAATATGGAAAACTGGTATGAGAAGTAGGGTCATTGTGATTAATCTTGACTATGTGGTTCTTAGGCCTTTGGAACTGGTTTGTGGGAAGAATTTGGAAGATTTTGGAGAAGCAGGCCAGAAAAAGCATAAACTGCTGTAAATTGATATCAACAGGTAATGCTGGTGGGAGCTCAGTAGACCAGAATGCCAGCAGGACAGTGAAGGGCAGGATCACGAGGTTTAAGATGAGAAGGAAGACTCTCCTGGCCTTTAGGCCCTGTGTGTTAAATGCTGGCAAAGAACTTGTCTACGTTTTGTCTGAACTTGAGACTTACCATGAGGCTGAATTCAAAGGTGATGTACTCATTAATCTGGCAGAGGAAATGTGAAGGCAGGCCAGTGTTCAGGCTATAGGACGGAGATTGCAGGCTTTTAGCCAGGTTTTTAGTGAAAATCAGGAGCGAATGCAGAGTAAAAAGATATTTGTACTTTGGCCAGTTGGGGCTAAGGAAGGCATGGTTTCTGAAGAGATTAGCACCATTAAGAAGCCAACTTCTCTGCATTGGGACAGTAGGAAAGATGCTTTGAGGCCGTATCAGAAATTGGCCAGACCTTGCTAGTAAAGTGACTCAACAAGTAAGAGCACCTGCCTAACAAGTGTGAAGCCCTGAGTTCAAACCCCAGTGCTGCCATAAAAAGAAAAGAAATTAGTCAAACCTCACACATCACAGGCTCAAGGGTACGAAAGAGTAAACTTGCCTGACTTTCCCTTGAAATGAGAGCAACAGTACGGCACCCTGCTCACACAGGACTGTGTAGGAAAGTGTTTCCCCATTTCACTGTTTTTAGCCACCTACTCAAAGGCTGCTTCAGCCATTGTCCATGGGAGTCCAGTTACTGTTCCAGCTGTGGTCAGACCTTTGTGCCATCCACATGAGACTGGTTTTGCAGGCATGTAGAATGCAAGAGTTATGGGGTTGTAGAGATGCCACACAGACTTTGAAAGAAGGACTGGGAGGCCAAGTATAGGACTTTCTTTTTGATTTTACAGGGGCTCACAGCATAGAGTTTGGCTTGAGCCTCAGAAGAGACTTTGAACTTGGACTTTTGAATAATGTTGGAACTACTAAGATGTTGGGGACTCTTGGAGATAGACTAAATGCATTTTGCATTATGAAATGACCATGAGCCTTTGACAGCCAGGAGATAAATGTTATGGTTTCAATAGGAAATGTCTCCCTATCCATGTCCATGCTTGGTCTGTAGTTGATGTAGTTGCTGTCACTATTTTGGGACGTTGGGGAAACTTTGGGAAGTGAGGCCTAGCTGGAGATAGCAGGTAACTGGGAGCATGCCTTTGAAGGTAATACTGAGTTCCCAGTCCTCTCCTCTCTGCTTCCAGTCTGCCATAAGGTAGAAAATCACCTCTGTGCCAATGCTCCTGCCACCAGGATGTTCTGCCCAAGCACATGGGACCAAGTAACCATAGACTGAACTCTCTGAAATGTGAACTCCTTCCTCCCTTAAGTTGTTTCTGTCGGGTATTTTGGTCACAGATATGCGAAAGGAAGTACTAAAGGTTGTGATTGGCATAGTTGTTAAGAGAGGAAATGAGGGGGTATCTTGAGAAGTGTATATATTATCCTGAGGGACGTATTTCTTCACTGACTTCAAGCAAAGGAACAGCCACATTAACCCTCATTAGAGAAGACTAGGGCACTCCTCTAGCCTTACAATGTTCAGGAAACCTAAGGATTCAAGATTTCCAGGTGCATCAACCCATATGGTCCTGTCCTGTGTCATGGTTCTATTTTTTCCCAACTAAAGCCCTTACTTCAGCATAGCAGACATGCTGGAGTTTTAGCTTCTTTGGATTTCTGCATTTCTCCTGATTCTGTCCTGTAACTGGTTCTCAACTTGCGCTCCTCACTGGCTTCAGGTAAGTTTCATTATATGCTATCATGGAGGGCTTCTGGCTTTGTTACATTTGAATTACCAATTAAATCACTCTCATTCTTTTACCCTTTTCCAAGGTCAGCCTAACCTATTAATAACCCATCAATCCCACTGTCCTTACTGGTCCCTTCTATATTTCTCAGCCACCTGGTATATTATATCTATGAGTCCATTTACTTCTCCTGGCATGCCATTGCAGTTTATTACTGGTGCAAGTATTAACAACTGTATTGTTCACAGGATGTTAGGGTTTATGTGTTCCGCCTACCACCAGTGATGGGGGGGCGGGGCTCTCATCCTGTAAGCCAGCTGGCAGAAGAACCAGTATAAAATCCCACTGCATCATCATCTCCTTCCTTACACTACTTCTGGTATCAAGTGACATAGGCTGGGTTCCTGGGAAGCTGACTCTGAGATGGAAATTGGTGGATAGACTGGGGGTTGCCCCCCGTGCAAGGACAAATTGGGCAGGAGAATAGGCTATGATGTAATCTCAAAGACAGCTTCGACTGACCCTTTGGGGAGCTCTGAAGCTGGGGTGAGTATCAGATTGCCCCAATATGGAGCAGTAGAACTACTCTTTGAATGCAGGCTACCATAGAAAGTGTGACCATATAAGGTGGCTCTCTTCAGTTAGGTAATTATGCAGAGATTTGGTAGAGGAGATTTTCTACTGACAGCGCTCCCAGAATTAAAGAAACCAAATCCTCTAGAACGAAAAGGAAATGTGAGTGGCATATAACAGTACTCCTTGAAGGCAACACTGCATCCCTACAGGCTGTTATATTATTGCCAGCATACTGGGCTATAACTACCTTCATTCTTACCAATTCATTTGTCCCTTACTGGAAGCTTATCATGTGTCATAATGATAAAGGGTACCTATGTCACAGCTGCCTGTTAAGCCAATTCAGGAAACTAATTCATTTAAATAGGTACAACCAAATAGATCAAGCCTTAACACAGGTGAGAACAAAACGGTGTTAATATCTAGAAAATTCAGTCAGCCTGACAGGTGACGTTTGAACAGTGTGTTAAGAATGCACATTTTCTCATAGCCAGAAGTAGGGGAAATGGAGGCAGCAGGAAGAGCTCAGCTTCTGAGCACCTTATCCTCAAGGCTCAATGTTATCAATATATTTGAACAGTTTACAATCAAATCATATTATTCTTTCCCATATTCAGGCCTCATCTTCTATTTCCATTGCCCTATGAAGTCTTCCAATTTATCCTCTTCACAGCTGGCATTTCACTATGCAGGTGAGTCTAAATTCATCTCTAGAGTGAGACATATTCCAGAGAATTACGTAAAATTAGTCCAGTCGTGGTAACAATTTATGCCTAAACTTTGCTTTCAGTTTTTAAGTCTATTCCTTAACCTCACCAAAAAAAGTACTTAAATTTCTGATTTAACCTACATAGATAGCTTAAATGTGGAACTACGTTCTGTGTTCATTAGAATTTTAAATGAGTTATATGTCCTGGCTTTTTTCATTAATCTCATAGGACTCTAACCAGTTTTTATTCCTGTCAGAGAAATGCTTCTTATATACTTCCATTAGGATGAACACTTGAGATAATCAAAACTTTATCATTCTAGCCTGGTTTTTTTGAGGATTTCCTGAGCTCTGAACACAAGGCTGAGAGACTTCCATCTTATCTACGAGCCAGCACTAGTTGGCACTAACATACCTGGGATGTTACAAGATGAAATATAGAAATACAAATGGTAAAAATCAAAACTTGTTTGTAAGACTTATTTTCTAATCTTTTAATCATTCATTTCTTTGAAACATTTTTGTAACAGAATTGAATTAGAAAGGTGGTTTTTTTTTAGATTCTACTAATACTTTTTCAACTACTAATTCATCTACAAATGGTTATGCCAAAGAAAAATCCAATATATTGTATATGTTGAGAGAAAATAAGAAAGTGATGAACACCGTGTTTGTAAATTTTGCTTTGGCCAAAGGTTCTTTTACTTTTGACATTTGGAAGTAAACTAGAGTTATGTACATAGCAGACCACCCACATTAAAATGTTACAAATAATAATGTCTGAGAATAGGACCAATCAAGTTACTAGCTCTTTAATAAAATGAGCAGAACCCCATTATAACAACAGCTCTTTATTACATGGTTTCAAATACACATCAAACCAATCATGTTCCCTGAAATTTCACAATGACATTCAATAAAAGCTTCAACACTCTAATTCTAAAGGGATTCCTTTGAATTCCCTTTACAAAGCTTTGCACAAAAAGAGTTTAAGCACCAGAAGACTGTTGCTAGCAGTAGCTATTTCTTCATCATCATCAAACATGCAGTTTCTTTCTCTTCCGTGCCTGGTCCTGTAAAATGGGTGCCACACTGCCTTGTGGTACAAAGTTTATAAATACAATATACCAATACAAAGTTGAAGCCAATAAAAAGAGCTTAATAACAACTACCAGGAGATAACTGAATCTGGTGTGTTGATGGAATCTGAAGAGATTTGACAACAACACACAAACTCAAACATTACAGTAAATGCTTTACTTGGAAAGGGGTGCGAGGGAACATTTTATGTGCTACTGAAGGATTTTCTAAGTTGCCCCAAGTTTACTTTCTTTCTGCTATTATCTTTAAATACTGCAAAGCATTGTGAGCTGCATCACTTTGTGCATTGCCACAGGAGATACCCAAGCCATGACAGACTGTGATGGGACTGGTTGACAGTTCGGCGAGACACTGATACTGTCCGTTAGCACTCAGTTCTTCTGTAATGACACATGCAAACATGATGATTAATGGCAAGTGTGTGTATCAACAGATTTGTTGTAAAAACAATAGTTTTTATGATTCTCTTTCTCTTTGAGCATCCATCGTACATGACTCCACTCACTGATCATCTCTGTCATGCTTGTAAAACAACAAACAAAACAATGGTTCAGCTATGGCAATTCTCAACAAACTAACTGTGTTTCATAATCACCTGAGGGAACCTTAAATACATACAGACATCTAGGCCTTACTGGCCCACTCAATCAGAAATGTAGGGGTGGTTTCAAAAATGGCTACCTGCATTTGAAAGAAGTTCCTCAGGCAGGCCTAATATAACCAGCTGCAGTGTTTGCAAATCTCTGAACCACAACAACCTTCTTAAAAGGGAAAGAATCATTTTTCACCAAGAAATCATTTTTCAGTAGAAACTTCAAACAGAAAATAATCTGATTCAGGGAAAGATTTCCCTTCTGCAATTTTGTTCTTAGATTGCTATTTTTGTCTTTTTTTGGGGGAGTACTAGGGTTTGAACTCAGGGTCTGGTGCTTGCTAGACAGATGCCCCTACCAGTTGAGCCTCCTTCTCTCCCTTGATCCTTCTTTCTTAGACAGGTCTCACTATATAGTCTTAGCCCAGGCTGGACTGGAACTCACAATCTTCCCTCAGTTTCCTGAGCACTAGGATGACAGGCAGGTGCCACCATGCTCAGCTTTCCATTTTTTTTTGCCATGCCTTTAGCCTTTTTTGCTTTCATTATCTTTCAAAAGGGCCTCACATTTATGCCCAGGTCAGCCTGGACCACAATACACCTATTTATACTTCCCACATAGCTGGGATGACAGGCACATACCACCACACACAGCTTTTTAATTGGTTGAGATGGGGGTCTCACAAACTTTTTGCACAGGCTGGCCTCAAAATGTGATCCTCCTAATCTCTCTCTCCTGAGTAGTGCAGATTACAGGCATGATTCACCGGTGACCAGTTTCCATTTTCTTGATTATAGGCATGCTAGGGGGGCATGAAGTGGTACCTCATTGTGGATTTGACTGTATTTCTAATGATATTGAACATCTTTTCATGTGCTTGTTGGTCATCTGTGTATGTTCTCTGAGGTAGCTGCATAGCTACGAGTTTTTTTGTTTGTTTGTTTTGTTTTGTTTTTACAGTACTGGGGTTTGAATTCAGGGCCAACATCTACAACTTAAGCCACTCCACTAGCCCTTTGTTTTGTGATTTTTTTTTTTCCAAGATAGGATCTCATGAAATGTTTGCCCAAGCTAGCTTTGAACCACAACCTCCTGATCTCTGCTCCCTTAGTAGCTAGGATTATAGGTGTGAACCACTGGCGCCTGACAGAAGTTCTTAAAAGAACTCTTTAGTTCTTAAAATTGGTAGGAAATGTTTAAAGGCATCATTAATTCATACTCTAAAACTTCATCTCAGGTTTCCCTTTTTTCCCAGCTTCTGAATCTTCCATTGTCTTATTTATCTTATGGCATATTTATCTCTATAAACTGTAGACACTAAACAATATTTAATGAATGAATGGTCTCTCATCAACCACTATTAAATCTCCAGGCTTGCATCATTTATGGCTTATCAAGACATTGTGTTTGACCTATCATTCAAAGCAGCAGAAAATATAGGAAGTTTATTCAGGCCCTAAACACTATTTTTCCAGTTCTAGGAGGTCTGACAAACATTTTACTGAACTTTTAATAAAGATATCAAATTCTTCATATATTATCCTAATGTACCATGTACACATAGGCTCACATATAATTAACCAGCTTTAAAAAGAGAATTAAAAGAAAATCCACAGTGACTTGCTTTCTTATCTGTCCACATTTGACTATATAAATAAAAGAGCTAGCGAAAATACAGATGATGGTAACAGGGATGGGATAAAGCTGCAAACTGACTTGTCTCAATTTACCATCTATAATCAACACTCAATAACAAGTGGAAAAAAGAGGTTGGATCCCCAAAACTTGATGCTGTGCTAGAGATGAGGATACCTTTTCACCTGACAAGCTGCTCATAGCACTACTTTATAGTTAGTGAATCTGCTGGAACTCTTCCCTTAGTCCCACTCCTCTACCACCAACTAGCTATGTGATCTTGGGCCAGTTTCTCAATTGTTCTGTGCCTTGCTTTCTTCACTTACAAGTAAGAATAACAGAATTCATTTCACAAAATTAGTTTTAAGATTTAGTTAGTTGATACATGTAATGTCCCTAGACCAGTGCCCGGCACACAATATAACTATAAGTATTAGCTATCGTTGATTTTATTTATTAAAGCTGTATAAGATGTTAACTATTATTACTATCCACAAGAATGGGACATATCAAGAATGGGACAATCAAGAATTTCTCTGGTAAATTAGGCAAGAAGAAGGAACAAAAGGAATACAAATAGGTAAAGAAACTGTCAAAGTATCCCTGTTTGCGGACGATATGATCCTATACCTTAAAGACCCAAAAAACTCTACTCAAAAGCTCCTAGACACCATCAATAGCTATAGCAAGGTAGCAGAATATAAAATCAACATAGAAAAATCATTAGCATTTCTATACACTAATAATGAACAAACTGAGAAAGAATATATGAAAACAATTCCATTTACAATAGCCTCAAAAAAAATCAAATACCTCGGTGTAAACTTAACAAAAGATGTGAACAACCTCTACAAGGAAAACTATAAACTTCTGAAGAAAGAGACTGAGGAAGACTATAGAAAGTGGAGAGATCTCCCATGCTCATGGATTGATAGAATCAACATAGTAAAAATGTCTATACTCTCAAAAGTAATCTACATGTTTAATGCAATTCCCATCAAAATCCCAATGACATTCATTAAAGAGATTGAAAAATCTACTGTTAAATTTATATGGAAACACAAGAGGCCACGAATAGCCAAGGCAATACTCAGTAAAAAGAATAATGCTGGAGGTATCACAATACCCGACTTCAAACTATATTACAAAGCAATAGCAATAAAAACAGCATGGTACTGGCACAAAAACAGACATGAAGACCAGTGGAACAGAATAGAGGACCTGGATATGAAGCCACACAACTATAACCAACCTATCTTTGATAAAGGCACTAAAAATATACGATGGAGAAAAGACAGCCTCTTCAACAAAAACTGCTGGGAAAACTGGTTAGCAGTCTGCAAAAAACTGAAACTAGATCCATGTTTATCACCCTATACCAATATTAACTCAAAATGGATCAAGGATCTTAATATCAGACCACAAACTCTAAAGTTGGTACAGGAAAAGAGCAGGAAATACTTTGGAACTAATAGGTACAGGCAAGAACTTTCTCCATGGACCCCAGCAGCTCAGCAACTAAGAGACAGCATAGATAAATGGGACTTCATAAAACTAAAAAGCTTCTGCTCAACAAAAGAAATGATCTCTAAACAGAAGAGACCATCCACAGAGTGGGAGAAAATATTTGCCAGCTACACATCAGACAAAGGACTGATAACCAGAATATATAGGGAACTCAAAAAAGTAAATTCTCCCAAAATTAATGAACCAATAAAGAAATGGGCAAGTGAACTAAACAGAACTTTCTCAAAAGAAGAAATTCAAATGGCCAGAAAACACATGAAAAAATGCTCACTATCTCTAGCAATAAAGGAAATGCAAATTAAAACCACACTAAGATTCCACCTCACACCTGTTAGAATAGCCATCATTAGCAACACCACTAACAACAGGTGTTGACGAGGATGTGGGGAAAAAGGAACCCTCTTACACTGCTGGTGGGAATGTAAACTAGTACAACCACTCTGGAAAAAAATTTGAAGGCTCCTTAAAAATCTAAACATTGATCTACCATATGATCCAGCAATTCCACTCTTGGGGATATACCCAAAAGAATGTGACACAGGTTACTCCAGGGGCACCGGCACACCCATGTTTATTGCGGCACTATTCACAATAGCCAAGTGATGGAAACAGCTAAGATGCCCCACTACTGACGAATGGATTAAGAAAATGTGGTGTTTATACACAATGGAATTTTATGCAGCCAGGAAGAAGAATGAAATCTTATCATTCACAGGTAAATGGCTGGAACTGGAGAACATCATTCTGAGTGAGGTTAGCCTGGCCCAAAAGACCAAAAATCGTATGTTCTCCCTCATATGCGGACATTAGATCAAGGGCAAACAACAAGGGGATTGGACTTTGATCACATGATAAAGCGAGAGCACACAAGGAAGGTATGAGGATAGATAAAACACCCAAAAAACTAGATAGCATTTGTTGCCCTCAATGCAGAGAAACTAAAGCAGATACTTTAAAGCAACTGAGGCCAATAGGAGAAAGGTACCAGGAACTAGAGAAAAGGTTAGTTCGAGAAGAATGAACTTAGAAGGTAACATACATATACAGGAAAGCAATGCGAGTCAACTCCCTGTATAGCTATTCTTATCTCAACTAGCAAAAACCCTTGGTCTTTCCTATTGTTGCTTATACTCTCTTCAACAAAACTAGAGATAAGGGCCAAATAATTTCTGCCTGGTAGCAAGGGGTTGGGGGGGTAAGGGAGGGAGCAGAGGGAAGGGGGAAGAAATGACCCAAACATTGTATGCACATATGAATATAATAAAAAAAGAAAAAAAAAAAGAACTGCTCTGGTAATTATATATAGTTAGAATTCTTGATTAATAAAATAAATTACAATAAACATTTTTATTTCTCAAATACATTTTAAAAAGAAGCATGTCTTGGAATAAACCAACTTAAAAATTCATACCTATATCCAAATATGTTATGTTAAAACCTTGTTCTTTGGCAATTTCACTAAGCAGCTGGATGTAGTCTGTATTTGGAATACTAAGAAGGCTTCTTTTCAGTAAGTTGATCTTTTCTCCAGGAGAATTCCTCAAGGAATGCCATGTGCATCCTAAAGAATGTCCTACTACATTTGTCTGAAAAAGAGAGGAAGATTTTGACTCTTAACTAGAACTATATTTCAATACCACTACCAGTATAATTAAAAGTATTTATAAGCACTCACATTTAATACTTCATAGAGGACATTTAAGTGGATATCATTTGGTTATTTTTCCAATTTAAAGTAGATAATACTAACAAGTACATATACTTAACAAATACAAAAAAAAAAAAAAAAACCAAATACCAAAAAACAAAAACAACAAAAAAAGGAAGCACTAAGTAAGTATACTGTAAGTATTTAAAAATGCTTTTGTACAGCAACATTGGAGTTGGAAGTTGTAGAGACTTTTAATGCATTATTTCCTCTTTCTTCCTCTTTTGACCAGGTTGATGCCTTTTAACTATCTAAAAGGCACCGTGGGACCTCGAGATGCCCATAGGGCATCAGGGAAACAAAATAAAACAAAACAACTTTTGTATAGTACAAAGACTATCAAATTTTCTGATGGTCACATAAAGGGGTGTAAGATATTTGAGAGCACCATGAGCAAATCAGGAAATAATTGAATCTGCCTAATGGTGCAATTTAAAACTAAAATATGAAATGGTTTTTATATCTTTATATTCTTTTACATTAAAGAACAAACATAGCTACTACTTTATTGCAGCACTATTCACAACAGCCAAGTTATGGAAACAGCCAAGATGCCCCACTACTGATGAATGGATTAAGAAAATGTGGTATTTATACACAATAGAATTTTATGCAGCTAGGAAGAAGAATGAAATCTTATCATTCACAGGTAAATGGCTGGAACTGGAGAACATCATTCTGAGTGAGGTTAGCCTGGTCCAAAAGACCAAAAATCGTATGTTCTCCCTCATATGTGGACATTAGACCAAGGGTAAACACAACAAGGGGACTGGACTTTGATCACACAATAAAGTGAGAGCACACAAGGGAGGTATGTGGATAGGTAACACACCCAAAAAACTAGATGGCATTTGGTGCCGCAGAGAAACTAAAGCAGATACTTTAAATCGACAGAGGCCAATAGGAGAAGGGTACCAGGAACCAGAGAAAAGGTTTGTTGGAGAAGAATTAATTTAGAAGGTAACACACATGTACAGGAAAGCAATGCAAGTCAATTCCCTGTATAGCTATCCTTATCTCAACTAGCAAAAACCCTTGGTCCTTCCTATTATTGCTTATACTGTCTCTTCAACATAATCAGAGATAAGGGCAAAATAGTTTCTGCCTGGTGGTAAGGGGGGAGAGGGAGGAGGTGCGGGGCGGGGGGGGGGGGGAAGGGAAGGGGCGGGGGAAGGGGGGGAGAAATGACCAAACATTGTATGCACATATGAATTAAAAAAAAAAAGAACAAACATAACTACTATAAAGCAGAAAACAATAACAAAAAACTGGAAAAGGTGAGATGTGAAAGTTAGGTTTGAGAAGAAAGAGTTGTTCAAGTGAATGACAGGATGTCAAAAGTTCTCATTACACTGATTTCCCAGCACCCAACAGAGTGTAATTTTTTCCTTTTTCTTTCTCCTTTTCCTCTTCTCTTTATTCTTCCCCATATCTTTCCCTTTTTATGTCTGTTCTTAGAGTGCTTTACATTTATATATTAGTTTATGATTCTCAAATTCTTTCCTACACTGTTAATAAACACAACTACTTTATTAATAAGCATAACAGAAATGAAGGAATTTTCAAAATATCATAGGAATGACATGATATAAAATTAAGTAACTTGATATAAATGTACTAAATGAAAACTTATATTCCTTTATTGTTTTTAGGGCTGAAAGTATAGCTCAGTGGTAGAGTCTGTGCTGAGTGTACAAAGCCCTGGGTTTGATACCTAGCACAAAAAAAAGGTTAAAAGAAATCACTTAATTTACATGGTAAAACAATATATACAATATGAGCAAGTATATAATGAAGAGTAAAAGTCTCCCTTACCACTTCCTTCCTTGAAGATCTGTGTTCTATTCCCTAGGGGTACTTGCTCTTAAAACTTTCCTTAGTATCTTTCCATAAATGTTCTATGGATATGTAAGCAGATATACACAATTTTTCTTAAAAGGAAAGCTTACCCTTTTACATCTTACTCATTTTTCTCACATCAGCACATGTACATGCTCTACATTATGGGCATTAGGTTATTTCTAACTTCTTGATTTTTCTAACAATGCTGAAATAATATGCAATCTTTTGCACTTAGCTGAGTTTCTCTGTACAATTATTTCTAGGAGAGGAACTATAGACTTAAAGTAGGTAATGCTTTTAATTGTGATAAATACTTGCAACCTGCTTTCTGAACCAATTTAAACTCCCACCAACTGTTTTGGAGGGACTTGTTTTCTCAGACCCTCACTAACACCAGACAGCATCAAACTTTGTAGTTTTGACCAATTTAAACGGTGAATTACCTGCACGAATGAAGCTGAACTTTTTCCTTTTCTTAGTCATTTGTATTCTACTGGGTTGTCTTTTTTTTACCGATGTGTAAGAGCTTCAATATACAGTACTAAAAATTGCTTCTTTATAGTCATGTGTTGAAGAGCATTACTTCCCACTTTATTTTATTCTTTAGTTTTATTTATAGATTTTTGGCTGTGTAGTAGGCTATAGTCAAATTTATGCAACTTTTACTTTAAGCTTCTAGGTTAAAAAGGCTTTCCTCATCCTAAAATATTTAGAAGAGAAACGCTCTTCCATATTTTCTAATACTTACACTTTTAGTTTTTACTGAAATCATTGATGCACCTGAAAGTTATGTGGTGTAAAGAATAAGACAGCAACCTAAGTATGTCATATACATATACACACATTCTCCCCCATCCCCAAATGTGTCTGTAAGTTGTTTCTACATCATTATTAAATAATCGTTCCTTTCACTCACTGATTTGAAGTCTTACTGTTACCATATACTATGTTCCTACGTGCATCTGATAGAATTATTCTATCCTCTGTCTATTCCTACACCAGTCACATTTTTGGTTTATGTTTTTTGCAGTACTGAAGTTTGAACTCAGGGCTTCATGCTTGCTAGGCAGATGTTCTACCACTTGAGCCACTCCACCAAACCCAAAAATCATGTGTTTTAATGACTACAGTTTTATGGTATGCTTTATTCTCTGGCAGCATAGCACCACATACTCTTACTTTTTATTTTTCTTGGCAAATTTTGAGGGTTTATTTTTCCAGATAAATTTAGTAAAGTATCAAAGAGAATTCTGGTGAATTTTGAGTGAGACTACATTACATTTGTATATATTTACAACACCATGTCTCCCTATCAAAATTAAGAGATAGCGTTACATTTGTCCAATTTGTTATATTCCTCAGTAGAGTTTTAAATGAATCCTTGCACATTTGTTTTTAAGTGTATTCACAAACATATCATCCCCTTTTTCACTACTGAAAATGGGATAGATCTTTTATATTCCAGCTCTTACTATTTGTAAGTAGGAAAACTATTGATTACTTTCTAGTATACCTTTTCAGGATAGTTTCAATTTTCTATAAAGTGGCAATGTTACCAAGCTTCCTAAGTCTCGTTAATCAAAATGATACCCACATTCAGCAAAAAAATCAAACAGTTCGGAACTATGAAAGCAATAATCCCCAGGCTCAACCCCTCCCCATTTTCAGTCTCCTTCCCAGAAGCAATGATTTTTAACTTTCTATTTTAATTATTGTTTTTTACCTTCACAACACTAAATATGTGAAACTATTAATTTTGTATATTAATTTCTTGATCAATTACCTTGATGAATTCTCTTACTGTTTCTAGTAGTTTTTCTCTAGGGCTTTACAGGGATACAATCAGATTATTTGCAGTTAATAATCATTTATAACTCCTCTCTTCTTATTTCCAACTTCTTATTGTTTTCTCTTGTCTAATTCTATTGGTTGGTACCTCTAGAACAAGGTCAAATAAAATAGTGTTAGTGGGCATCCTCAGTCTTATTTCTAATATTAACGGGAATGAGTGTAAGGCATAAGCATGTAACCATGATTTTGATTTTCTTTGGACATTTTTTTTATCAGCAACAATTGAGTTTTAGCAAATATATATTTTCAGCATCCACTGAAAGGTTTATGCTTCTTTTCCTTTAGTTAATTATAGTAATAAATTTATTAACCTTAAAATATCCATACATCTGTAAAATAAACTATTCATGTCTAGGGCATTGTTCTTTTGATAGTCTACTGAATATTTTTGAAGGTGTTTTGAAACTTCCTATATATTACATATATGAGAAACCTTCTTTTACATTATATATAACATAAGTGGTTTAAACACTATTAAAAATTATTTCTTTTGAAGATTGACAGATTCTACCTGTAAACCTATCTGTGCTTTGTGATTTTGGTAGTATCTCTGATACAAATTTAAAAAGAAGTAAATACAATATTTTTCTATTAAAAAAGAAAAAACAAAAGTATATTACTTATTTGATATAACCATTGTTTTTTTTCCCTACAAAATGAGCCATCATTTTGTAAGTTTAGCGAGGATACTGCTACGGTTGTGCCTTCTCATTTCCTACTCAAAGATAATGTACCACAAGACATACCTAGTTCATATCAGAACCTCAAGCTATAGATTACATGTAGCCATACTTCTTAAGCTCTGGGTTGGCCCAGCTGCCTATTCAATACCTCCATACTTCAATCTCAATATACCCTGCTTGCCTCAAATCCTTCTCACCTCTGTGTTCACCGTTATTGAAAACTGCCACTGTCTTCTCAGTTGCCAAACTAAAATATTTATTTCCCTCCTTTCCCTTATTCCTCACATCCAATCAATTATCATGCCCCTTTCCTTCAGTTTTCTAAATAATTATTAAATCTACTCATTTCTCTCCATTTCCTCTGCCACCACCTTAATTTAAGCCATTATCTCTTATATGCTTTCTATAACAGCACGCTACTAGGTCCCTTTGATCCTAATATTCATTTACTCACCCTGAGTCAGTCAAGTAATTTCCTTTATTTTTATAAAATTTTTATTTATTTATTTATTCACTGTGGTGCAAGGGATCGAATGCAGGGCCTTGTGCTAGGCAAGTTCTCTACCACTGAGCTATATCTCCAGCCTGATTTCTTTTCTAATGTTAGTTCCTGTCTATTCCAGATTAAAACTCTTTAATGACTTTGTACTACCTTAGGATAAGAGTAATCTCCCCTTGCTTTTCTGGCCTTACTGTTTGAGACTCCCTCCCTTCAACACTATGCTCTGGACATACTAACTCACTAGCATTCTCAGACTGAGTAAGATGTTCCACTTCAGGGGCTTTGTGCATGATTTTTCTTCTCCCTGGAATTCTTTTCCCCCATTCTCATCCTATGGGTCTCAGCTTAGATATTACTTCTTCCTGGAGGCCTTGGCAAAAAACCCAGTTTTGGTTATATGCTGTCTTCCCTGTTCCTACATCATCCACTGTAAGAACCAGTCAATAGCCTACTTTCCTTTTTCAGTAGGCTATAAATTCTATATGGGTAGAGACTGGTTTTTCACTGTATCCCAGTACCTGATATGTATGCTACTAAATGACTGCTGAGTGGACAAATGATTGAACAAAGGAATGGAACTGTGTTGTTACTCTAAAGGTAAAAATGGCATTACTGCCTGACATTTTTAGTTACTTTTTTTTTTTTTGGTGCTGGGGTTTGAATCCAGGACCTTGTACATGTTAAGCACATGCTGTACTTGTAAGCCACACACCCAGCTGAGCTATCATTTTTAGAACCCATCCTATTGTTCTGAATTTACTATGTCTCCTAAGTCCCCTTACTTGGTCACTCCAGTAACTCTGGCTCACATATAGAAAGCAGCTAAAATTAGGGTAGTGTATAGCTGAACAATAAAGATATTTTTAAAAATTGCCACTCTGAAGTATCTATACAACAAGAAATCAGGAGAGTTTCTTACAGTAAGAGACACTTAATCATCTGATCATTACTCACTAGAGAAATGTGGTTCTCTGGAGAAATATTACTAAATTTGGCAAGAAATTTCTCAGCAGCATTTCTCTTGGCTTGTTTTTTTGATGCCCCTTTTCCTAAATAAAGAAAAAGAAATAGATTTAGACATTAGTGTCCACAGAGGATGATCAAATGTGTAAAGCATTATGTTTAATTAGTGAACACATTAGGAGATGGTTATTTTTTAGTAATGTTAAACATATTAAGAACAGGAATTTCCTTCTTATATTTTATTTATTTATTCATTTATTTTTGAACTCAGTGCATCATGCTTGCTACACAAGTTCTTTACCATTTGACCCATGACCCCAGCCTTTTTTTTTTCTTTTAATTTGCTTTTCAGATAGGGTCTCACTAACTTTGTATGGGCTGGCTTTGAACAGGAATCCTTCTATCTCCACCTTCAAAGCTGCGGGGACCACAGGGGTATGCCACCCCACACAGCTCGTTGAGATGGGGGTCTAACATTTTGTCTAGCCCAACTATGATCCTCTTGGTCTCTACCTCCTGAGTAGCTAGAATTATAGGCATGAGGCATCATGCAAAGTTGTTTTTTAAAAGTCAGTAAAACATCAGTGAGGAATGTTTAAGATACAGAGCCAACAATTTGCCTATCTTTCCATTAATAAATTCTGATTTTTAAAAATACCAAATTAAGACATATAAATATTCTTAACCAAATATTTACTTTCTCAACCTTAGAAAGTCAGAGACAGGGACTGAGGAGTGGTTCACATGGTACAGCACCTACCTAACAAACTTAAGGTTCTGAGTTCAACCCCCACACAGCAAAGAGAAAGAGAGAGAGAGAGAAGAAAAGAAGCACATCAATTTTTTTCCCCACAGATATATTTGAAAAATAGAAACTTCTATGGTCATTCATCATCTAAAAATACTGCAGATTGTTAAGAAATAAGTACCAGTTTCCATAAATGACTCTAGTCTGCAAATTGTGGTATATTCTCTCTTATGAGCAGGTCCTCCCTCCTGGGAAAGGGTATATTCAGGAAGTCTCCAGCCATGATGAATAGCCAATTCCTATAAAATCGAGATGAGGCTTTAACAGTAATTTTAACTGTACAATGGCTCAATCACATGATATTCCTTCTTGATTCTGATTACATTTCTAGTCATATGTTGAAAAGAATAATAGCATTCCACCATTGAAAAATGAGGGAAGACCCTGTATTTCCCATAGATATTCATATCTTTAAACATCCTTCATAGGACGAAACTCAAACAGCTTTGTGCTAGGAAGGCCTTTCTTCTATTAAGCCATAGTGAAGTGATATCAGAGTCCAAGGAGAAAGTAAGCCACTACCAACCTCTTTGGGAACACCAGAAAAGACACCTGCCCTCAGTTCATAAAGCCTCCCTCCTCCTAGTTATGGACTTCCAGACCCACATCTAGCTAATTGCTGCATTCAATCAAAAGCAAGTGAAGATCAGAGACTAAGCAAATCAGTGGGCTAACTTCTCTTTCCTTTTTTTTTTGGGTTTGAACTCAGGGCCTCATGCTTGCTAGGCAGGTGCTCTACCCATGAGCCATTCCACCAATCAAATATTAAGTAACCACACTGTGGTTTCATCGGGACTCAAACCCAAGACCTTCTGCATGTAAAGCAGACAAACACTCTACACTATGGAACCACACCTCTCTTTTCTTAAGTTACCCAACTTTGGTTCTTTTATAAAGTCTTCTGTCTCATGGAAGTAGAAAGATGTTTTCCACAAAAGTGGAAAGAAATGTTCTTAAAGTATACAACACTCCACCCATGTGCACTAAGGTTCTGTTGATTTCAAATGATAATTTTACAAAACAAAGGCAAATACTGTATATGGAAGAAAATCCAAAACATATAATAAGTAGGAAAATAATTTCAAGTTAGCTCTATAAAATTTAATGATCATAACCTGGAAAATGTAATTCTTATCTTTAAAACATCAATTGCTTGTCTTTGTCCCTCTGATATTACCGATTTATCCTATCTTTCATCAGAAGATAAAATATTAGGTAGGGAAAAACTATACAACTTACCTGTAATGAACCAATAGGGTTAAGTTGGTTCTTTGGTTGCTTGGATGGGTCAGGCATTAAGGGGTCAGGAGCTGCAAAGCTAAACATTTTTTTAAAGTGTTATTTTAAAAAACAATTTCTCCAAATTACTAAATAAATGGCAAGCATTTTCTATATACCCCTTCATGCCTAAGCTCTTGCTATTCCCTATATATGGAATGTTCTTCTAACTTCTTCTGAACTATCTGCCATCCGAGGTGTATCTCAGATGTCACGTCCTCAAGAAGCCTATTCCCCAGTGGATCATCTCTCACTCCTTTGAATCACTGTAACTTTTTTTTTGGCAGTGCTAGGGGGATTGAACCCAGGGCCTTACACAAGCTACTACCACTGAAGCTATGTCCCCAGTTCCATTATAGCATTTTGTCTGACTCTTTCATAAGGAAGTTATTTGACCATAAATTATACACTTTTAAAAATATGTGTAATTTATTATCCCTCACCTAAACTTTCTCCATTCATACTGCAAATTCCTCGATGGTAGGGCCTATGTATTACTTACCTAAGCTCTGTAATGTTTTATACATAATAGGTGCTTAATAAAAATATATTTAAAGTACAATATTATTATAACTACACACAAAAAAGACCATTAACTAGGAAATTTAGCCTAGCAATACGGATAATGCATGTCATAAATGTGTTTCCATTCAGAAAACTGTGGAAGAGAGATCTGTTTGTTCTATCACTTGTTCAGTGCTAGGATAAATCTCTAAGATTTATATGTATCCTGCAAAAAATAGGGTGGCCTACATGAAACTGGTTTCAGTGTGTGGAGATTATGATTAGGGAAAAAGAGAACAATCACTTCTAGGTAGTTTGGAATTACTAGTTACTTGGGAGATCAATGCCTCATGCTGAATAACCTGCATTCCAAGGTTACTACCACCTAGCAACTGAACAGTCATTTCCTCCATAACAAGTGAGGTTTAGCTATTGCCGCTTCAAGTTTGTTTTCCAACTGCCAGAATTTCAAACTTTACATAGGCTGATGAGATATGAATATTCACTTACAATGCTGCATGCTGAAGCTACCCAAATAATTGTGATGGAGAAGTGAGAATGTCTCTGTATTAAATCAGGCCACTTTAGGCCTCATCTTAGTAATTCTCAGCTTAGTAATTCTCATCTTATCTGTCAAAAAGCACAAAATATATAGTAAAGTTTGTTAGCCTTTTTTGGTGACAAAGTGAAGTGCCCATCTGCAGAAAGGACACTCCATATGCTCATTTCTACAAATGTACCCAACACTTTGGGTTGACTTTTGAGCTGCATAAAACAGCATGACCATTACTAGTGGTGGGGCAAAACTCGAAATGTGCAATGCTATTTGGCATGTCTTGAAAGCTTCCACAAATCAGTTATAATGTGTGACCTCAGAAAAGCAGGCATCATCTGTCAGATCCAAGGCTTGCCTGGGGCAAGTGCTTATCTTGAGTGTAGCTATGGTACTAGTCAGTTCTAAAGTACCCAAAAGGTCAGAAATACATAGAAAAAGAAATCCTTTATGAGAATCTAAGTATACTTCTAATCCAAGAGTCTTGCTGTAGATGAGAAAAGTCTATCCCAAATTCCACTGGTCTCTGCTGTCAGCTATTCACAGACTGAATTATAAGCATTTTGAGTGTGTAGAACAGCATTTAAAGGCATGCCATACTCAACAGTGCCCCCAGTGGAAACCAAAAGACACCACTTTATAATACATGATGTTACAGAATCAATACTGTTTCCAAAAACACCTCAAAAAAGTGGCAAAAATTTTAATTTGGAAACACATGTCAAGAATTCCACTTAGCATTCTCTTGTATTTGGTATATATTCTACAGTAAAAGAAAATCTCTGCCTCCTACATCCATATGAGATTTCCTAAGAGTATTTTCAGCTGGGCATGGTGATGCAACTCTCTAATCCCCAAAGTCAGGAGACTAAGACTGCGAGTTTGCGGCCATTCTGAGCTACAAAGCAAGATTCTCACTCCAAAAAGAAAAAAGAAAGAGAGTACATTTACCGATCTCTTTCTATCTCATACCTTGTTTTATTCCATGTAGAAATGAAGTCATAATTCAAGATATTAATATTTGCTAGAAACACTGGTTTTATACTGCTGCTCTCCATCATGAGCAAGTAAAGTCTAGTTCACAAGAGCCTTTGTTTCATTGCTAACTCCTAGATTTCAGTGGACAAAAGTGTGCGGATGACAGGTTTTCACAAAGAAATGGAATATTAGAACTAAGATACTAATAATTGTTCCCTCTGTTGCTTTTGTGAGCACATTCAAATTTGTAATCTTACCTCAGCCATGATAATTTTGAGCTGCAGAATACAAAGAAATTTAGCTCACCAAATACTTGCATTGGCTTTCAAAATGTTTATGGCAGCCTCTGCAGCTCTATGTTTCGCCAGCTTCTTACTTGTACCTTCACCTGAATTAAGGTTTAAAAAAGAAGTTTTCAACTCCTATGAAGAAGTGTGGGTTTCACAGATGTTATATTGCAAAACAAAGTCACTACAAGTTTTATATGTACATACTTGGAAATACAACATCCACTATACCTGCTACAGTTGTACACTATAATAAAATATTTACCATGTAAAATTAATAAAGAAAACAATTTTTAAAATTCCATGTATTTAAGTCTATGCACACTTGTATAAAAACTCTTATTGGTTCTATATTGTATGTATTTATTACATAAAACAGTAATAAAGGAGACCATGTCAGACCTCCTGAAGAAAGGGAACTTAGAATTTTACTCTTCCTTTATTCCTGGACAGATAGGGAATTCTTCTGCAGCAAGAACTTTCCTTTAAAGAAATCACTTAAAGCAGAACCACTGGACAGCAAAACAGGCACAATTTTATTCTGATAGTCTGGTCCTATTCTGGATCAAACCCCTATGTTAGGCTAAGCAGTCATGACTATATGTTGAGCACAGTAGGGAAGGTATATATATATATATATGGATGTGTAATGCATTTTCTGTAGTCTGTATTCCTTCCTTGGGTAGAAAATGGAAGGCTGGGCCTAAGACTGAAGCCCACATTTCAGTAAGCACTCACCTCTGACAAATGATAAAGTCAATCTTTTTTCCTTCTGGGTTCAAACCCTCAAACTCATGAAATAAGTTTCAAGTGTGACCCTTAAGCATCAAGGGACACACAAGCTATATTCTTTTATCTACTAACATAGACATTTGGGATATGGCATAGAACAAAACAGAGTCCCTGACCTTAAGGACTGACAGATTAGTGTGGGATTTTGTCTGTTAACAGGTATCTGAAAGATGAGGGGTATATGTTACAAGCCTCAACACAGGCTGTAGGGGAGAACATGAAAATGGTAGCTTGCCAGATGTGGTAGTGTACAACTGTAATCTCAGCACTCAGGAGGCTGAGGGAGGAAAATCAAGAGTTTGAGGCCACCCTCAGTTAGATAGTAAGACCCAGGCTCACCAAAAAAAAAAAAGTGAGAAAGGAAAAAAGGTGACAGCTCCCTGACACTTGCTTAGGGATTCAAAAGGCTTTCATGAAGAAACAGATAAATAAACTGACACTTGAAAGATGAGTAAAAGCTAGTAAGGTAGAGGGAGCTGGGGATTAAGAAGAATATTTTAGATAGAGAGAAAGCACCTGAAAAGGCTCAAAGGCAACACAGAGCACAGTATTGTCAAAGCCCCAAATAGATGACTTGGCTAAAGTATAAGTACTTGAAGGAAGGAATTTTGAGATAAAAGGCTAGAAGTTGAGGGTTGAGGAAGAGGTCAAAGAAGGGTATTATAAGTATGTGCTTTTCAAATTTTAGTGTGCCAAAATACCATGGTATTTTGTTAAAAACACATGCTGTAATCCCATACAGCAGGGAAGGCCTGATGCTATGCATTTTCATTGACTGCCTAAGTGATATGCTACTTGATGATTACATTTTAAAAAAGCAAGTTTGTAAGTGAAGTTAAAATGTTTGTATTTATCTAGAGCATGATGGGGAAACCACTAAGTGGATTTTAAGAGGAGGGAGACAAATTTGAATGCTAGAAAAGAACACTTTGGTTGTCATACAGAAGATGGGTATCACAAGATTATAAGATGAAAGAGCAGTTAAAAGACAGGAGCTATAATACAATCAAGAGATGACAGTGGCCTGAAGAGCCCCAAAAGAGAGTGAAGCAGACTCAATAGCTTTTTAGGAAATAGGGCTTAATAATAGACTGGACAAGAAGGAGACGGAAGGGAAGGATCAAGGCCATCCCCACAACTAGGTTATTGTGGTACCTTTATAGAGAAAAGGAATGCAAGGGAAATGGGTTGTGGAGGGGATAAGATAGATTTGATTTGGGACAATGAGAGACTGAGGTGACTTTATATCCTCTAATGGAAGATGCCCAGCAAGTGCACAGGCAGATACATTGTTTTGTAACTGGGTCTGGGCTGAATATGAAGATTTCAGAATTATTAGTCATTATTTATTTATTTACTTTCTGGTGGTGCTGGGGTTTGAACTCAGGGCCTCCACCTTGCTGGGCAAACCATGAAGGCAGATAAGCTGGCACAGGAAGAGGAGGTAGTGTGAGAAGAGGTTGAAGGCAGAATGGTTGAAACAGTTATTAATCCCTAATCTAAAACACATGTAGGGTGGAGGGCGTGAAAGGCTACGTTTTCATGAATTTCCATTGACTATTTTAAATCAACCATTTGATGTAATAAATGCAATGCTGACTTCATGGTTCATGTGAGGAACTTTCCAGTCAGCACTTACAATCCACCTGCCTCACATAGAGGGGATGGGGAGGGTTGGGAAGCTTCAGAAATCTCTTAAAGTGGCTTCAGTGACAACTTTCCCCGAAGACACAAACAAATCATGCCATCAGATAACTAGATGGAGGAATTCCAGCCTTTCCACTATTTTTTTCCTTAATATTCTTCCAAATTAAATTTTTTATGTCTGTAATTAAAAAGGTAAGAAAGATAATGTCAACATTTACAAATGGTTACCATTTCCTCAGGCATGAGCCTGAACTTTGAAACTATTACTATGTGACCTTGGGCATGTTACTTATAATCTCTCTGAATGTTTCTTCCTGTATAAAAAGAAAATACAATCTTACACAGTACCTGCTGTTTTAAGAATCAGAAGCTACTATGCATTACAGTGGTTGGGAACCTTCTGCTTGTCCTCATTTTATCTGGACACAAAATCAGTAGTGGTACAATGAACCCAAAGTTCCAAATGTGTCTGCAAAGGGAGGGAAGAGCTCAGAAAATTCTGGGGTCATGCCTCAAGTATTGCTGTAATCTAGGGAACTAGTAAATCTGACAGTACCTCCTGTGGAGTTATGACAGCTCCAAGAACCTTTCCTGTTTCTCCCTAATTTTTAGAGGACCCTTAGGAGGATCCTATGGTGAGAGAATGCTTGCAGGATGCCTACATAACTTTTTAGTTTCTGAGCTTCCTCGTAGCTGAGGAAAATTAGAGGCAATCACATGAAGCTGAAAAACCCTAATGACCTGATACGAGAGATCTCTTGGTTTCAGAGCCCGCTCCTCCTGTCTTTGGCAAAAGGGGCACTTTTCCGAATTGAAAAGTAACACCAAGTCTGGACTGCCAACCCGCATGATCATGGAGATTAACTGTGCATACAGACCTGTGCAAGTTATGTCACCGACGGTTACTCTGAAGGTGAAAGTGGGCACGTGTATTTGCACATCGGATCTTTCACATTCATAAACCGGGATATTCTTGGTCTTCATGCCGTATTCGTGTAATACCTGAATCGGTGTTTTCCCTGGTTTAGCTGTTATCATCTTCCCCAAACTGCAAAAACAACAGACAGACGTGTGCTTTGCATGTCAAAGCGGAGAGGGAAGCAGAAGCACACACTGGCCAGTTTCAACTGCCACCAATGGTGACGAGGGAAGCTCCCAGCTCCCAGGCGCCAGGGCCAGAGCCGACAAGGCCTGGGCGCACCTGTCTCCCGGCCCCGAAGCGGCAGTCACTCGACAGGGCCGAGCAGAGTGAGGGAGGGAGGTCTTTGGAGAGAGAACTTGAATGCAGGTGGCCGGGATCCTCAGGGGAACGAGGTGGACACCGGCGCTGCATCCGCTCGAGACCAAGCCCACGAATCCTGCCTCAGCGCGGCACCATTTGCCGCCTCCTCCCACCCTGCACGAGCCCGGGGCCACCAGAGGGGCGGGGCGCGGCCGCAGACCCCGGCTCGGTGCCGCCAAGAGGGCGGGGCCGAGCGCCGCCGCCGCGGGGAGGGGGGAGGCAGGAAGGGGCTTTACCCAGAATGCCGCCGGAAAGCCGGCTCCCCGCCCCCGCCTCTGCTGCCCACCGCTCTCGGCCCTGCGGCTCCGAAGCCCGGCGCTGACCTGAAGGTTCCGCTGTCCTCGCGCTCCAGCGGCGGGGCCTCGGCGCGATGCCTGCTCTGGGACATTGCGAGAAGGGACGACTAGGCAGCGCAAAGAAGAGCAGTGAGGAGCGATGTCCTCGCTCCCCGCGTCGGCCCGTCCCGAGAGCAGCTCTCCGGCACTGCCGCCTCTCCGATTCCCCCTCTCCTTGCTGCTCGCGTCCCTCAGCTAAGGGGACCAGCGGGCGGGGCGGGGGGAGGCGGGGCCTCGGCGCAGCAGTGCCGGCCACACCCCCTCGCTGCTCGGACTCCTGGCCCAGCACCTAGCTAGTCCCCGCCCCCTCCCCTTCTAGGCCGCTCAGGCTCTGACAGGCTCGGCTCTTCCCAGCTCCTGCCCGCTCCACCCTTCCGCTCCTGGGGCTCCGTGGTGCCCGGCCCGCCTCTACCCTCCAGGCCCCGCCCCCTCTGCTAGCCCTGGCTCTTCCCATCTCTCGCCCGCACCCCTCTAGGGCTTCTCGGAGCTCGGTCCCGCCCCTCCCCTCCAGGCCCCGCCCCCTCCACCGGATCCGGCTGCTCCTAGCTCCGGTCCGCGCCCTCTTTGGGCTCCCGCCCTTCCTACCCACTGACTGGACCCAGAGCCGCACAGTTCTTTGTCCTCGGAAGGATGCGGTTTCCTCCTCGGAGAGAAAGCTTGTTGGGGTGGGCTCGGGGTCTGCAAGACCAGACGCCCAGCATGTCTGAAGGGTGGGAGGAAAGACAGGCGGATGAGTCGCTTTTAAGATTTTAAAATTCCGAATGCGAATGCCACCAGCTTTGAGAATCGCGGTGTGTCGCTCCAGGGGGCCGCGGGGGCTCCCCTGGCCCCCAAGCGCTGCCCTTAGGAGCGCGCCCCGGGCTCCTTGGTCTTGGAGGCTTCCGTCGCGAGTTCAACGCTAGGCCTCTTTGTGTTTCCGGTCCAACGCTGTTTCTGCAGAGCTGTGTTGTAATGGCGTTTGCTGGGATGCACCACCTTTGGTGGGGGGCCAAACAGCGACATTAGATGACTGGCCAAGAGGTTCGTTAGCGGCCTCCCCCTGCCTACTTGGTGTTCCAGAGGATTGTTTTGCTCAGTGTATTTCTCACGAAGAGACATTGTTAAAAGTAATTTCTTAAATGGGCCATGGTGTGCATGACTATAATTCCAGCATTGTGGAGGCTGAGGCAAGGGGATCACGAATTGGAGGCTAGCCTGGGCTACTTAGCAAGATTCTGTCTCAAAAGCAAAACGACAAGGAAAGTAATTTGGTTTTGGTTGAATGTGAGCCCTAGATTCTTTAGGAAGAGAAAAAATACTGAGATCTAATAAAATTTCCATTACAAGAATTGAATTAAGCCTGTTTTTCTTTCCTTTACATATATATGTATATATATCCACATATCCACACATATATATCTATAGATGTATTTTACATTTTAATAATGTACACTTTAATAAATGTACAACAATGTTACATTTTAATAAATATTGTAAGGCCACAGGAACGGTTTCAAAATATATTAATGTCCACCTATGGCAATATAATAATACAGCATAGATTTGTTTCTAAAATTTCATTTAATTTTAGCCACAAAATTCCATAAAAACAATCCAAAACCTTACGTATCTTTCTTTATAGGTTGAGTAACTGGGATAATAGTGATGATAGAAAAAGAAAATAGTGCAGCTGTACTCCATTTCGGGTGATGTAGACTGAGTGCCCAGCTTCTGCGTAAGAAACCATTGCATGACGTGTTTTGTGTGTAATATGGCTTTAATTTAGTGTTTTATAAAGATCTGCATGCAATTATTTCCCTATATTCCGTGAATTTATATTTGATATTAAGCACTTGTAAACATACAAGATGGAAGTGAACAAAATGCTTACACAATAAACTATATCTCATAAGGATTCAGATTCAGAACAGCACTTCTGGATTGCCAAAATTCACCTGGTTGACCTGTGAAGGAATTCCCTTTGGACTAGGTCCATTGTAGATAGTATCCAGTGCTCAAGTTAGTGCGCGAATTGCAGCTTCCCACAGGGCTGTGTGCTTCCCTCCCAAGTGGCGAGTGCTGCTGGCAAATCGCTATCGAGCATATTGGTAGTGTATTCGAATGTTTTCTGCGTTATATTCTAGTGCTATAGACTGCCTTTCCAAATTACACTTGCTTTTAGTATATCATTTTACACCGTTGATCTATTATTCATTACCTGAGCACCTGGAAGGAAGGCAGTGTTGTGAATTGTACACTGGTAAACTACCTTAAAACCATGCTTTATATTTTTAACGTGTGTAATTATATTTAAGATCAAGCCTGATTTTCTTCTTTGAAAATGGATTTGGTATCTAAGGGTTGCAGTGGATGACATTTTAATATTAATATGTTTGCTGCTGCTACCAAGAGCTTTGTGAAGCAAGTTGGAGATGGAGGGAGATTAGTTCCTGTTCCAAGCCTCAGCGAGGCTGACAAATACCAACCTCTAAGCCTGGTGGTAAAAAAGAAGCGATGCTTTCTGTTTCCTAGATACAAATTTACCTCAACGCCTTTCACACTGAAAGATATCCTTCTGGGAGACAGAGAAATTTCAGCTGGTAAGTTGAAATATTGGGAGTAACTACTCCAGGAGGGGTGTTATTAAACCTATAGAAAGCTGTATGTATTAGTTGCATTAATAATGCACAGTTTCACTGATAAAAGCAATTTTTATTATGACAGCAGTCATTTTACTAAGATTAATAATGCATAAAGTTAGTATAGTATCAAATCTCTTGTTGGTTGAATAATTTAAAGTTTACCAATTATTTTGTAAGTTGTTTTAGCCAAATTAATTTAGGAAATTATATATTTTTTCATCTCTAAGATATATTATTTGATTTTACCTATGTTACATAATCAAATGAGATGAAAGTAATTCTGTATTTTTGTTTACAACTCAATTATTACAATTGGTAAATTTAAACATATTTAAAAAGGTACCTTGTAAAATAGTTGTTTTGACAAGTTATTGCTTAATAATACTTGTTTTCCTTTCAGTCAACCACTGGCTCTTGATGCCTAAAACATTCTGTTGGCTGAACAGAAAATTTGATCTCATTTCAAGTATTGTCAATTGTTTGTTTTTGTTGTAAAATTCATTGGAATGCTATTTTTAACTTTGGATTGAAATGTTGCTTTTCTCATTAACATGTCAATTATAAATTAATATATTGCTATATATAATCTACATAAGATGAATTTGAGACACCTAAAAAATACTAAGTTCCTTCTTGTAAGGTATTTCATCTTATCAATTGCTGAATTATGAAGATGAATCAGATGTTTCACTTTATGGAAGGCGAGGCAACCATATTGTAAATGATGTTGGGATAAATGTCACTGGATCTGATTCCATTGCAGTAAAAGCTTCATTTGGTGTTGTAACCAAACATGAAGTGGAAGTATCAACATTACTCAAGGAAATTACTACACGGTCAGTATAATAATCCCAATACACTTCAGTGTTTTCACTACATAAACTTATTGCAAGGCCATGCAATTGCAAGCAAGACTCTCTCTCAAAATACCCAACATATACAAAAAAGGACTGGTGGAGTGTGTTAAGTGGTAGGGTGCCTAACTAGCAAGTGTGAGGCCCTGAGTTCAAACCCCAGTACTGCCAAAGAATAAAAACAAAACTTCATTGCAAAGAATGCTTAAAACATTCAGATTGTTTTACTGGTATAATTTATTTGATTTGTTTGAAATGCCACAAATTAGTAGTATTCAAACTTTGGTGAAGGGCAGCTATTAAAAAATCATTTGGTTTAAAGAAAATGTTCCATTGTTTCACAAAATCACTATGGCCCTACACACATTTGCTAAATTATAAAACTGAAATAATCCAAGTCTCTGCCTGCAACAATTATACTAAAAGCAGCAACTCTTAACAGACTCTCAACAGGCAGAGTATAGAAGCATGTTTTTTTTTTTATTGTTGTTGTTGTTTGTTTTTTGTGGTACTGGCGCTTGAACTCGGGGCCTACACCTTGAGCCACTCCACTAACCCTTTTCTATGATGTGTTTTTTTTCGAGATAGGGTCTTGCCACCTATTTGCCTGGCTTTGGCTTTGAACCAAGATCCTCCTAATCTCTGCCTTCTGAGTAGCTAGGATTACAGGAGTGAGCTACTGTCGCTGGGCTATAGAAGCATGTTAGAGAAAAATAGAAGGGAGAGGGAGACTAGTCAAATTTGTTGTATGTATTTTGTGATGTGTATTAGGTCTGCTTTGATTTGCTTTAAGTTGAGATTGACCTTGAATGAGTAACACATGATAGCAAAAAATGTACAGGATTACATGGAATTCAATATTAAAGACTCTTATGAATGTCTTTTTTATTTTAGAAAAATTAACTTTGATCACAGCTTGATACGTCAATCGAGGAGCAGCAGAAAGGCTGTGCTGTGCGTGGTTATGGAAAGCATTCGAACTTCCAGACAGTGCTCTCTGTCTGTGCATGCTGGGATTCGAGGGGAAGCAATGCGGGTAAAACGCACTCATTCTGCTTCTCTTAGCAACTGCAAAGTTGCCACGGGAATATTTAAAAAGTACTCAGCCTATAATGAGGCATGTGTGTTTTGTCAAATGTAGAGATGAAAGACCTGCAGTTGTGTAGGATTTTGCACAGGAATGATTGTGTTTCGGAAAGTTAAAAAAAAAAAAACTTAAGAAAATGTGGATTTTAAACGTGTAATGTGATGCAAATTAAACACTAATCCTTATGAAATAATGTACATGGTGGAGTAGCTAGGTGCTATTTTTTCATTAGTGTAAATTAATTGTACAAAGGTGTTTCTTTGTGATTTATTTTTTTTAACTCAGGGTCTCCCACTTTCTAGAAAAGTATTCTACCACTTGAGCCATGCCCCCAGTCTTTAAGTGTTATTTTAAGAATAAAATTGCTGGGTGCTGGTGGCCCATGCCTATAATTGAAGCTACTCAGGAGGCAGAGATCAGGAGGATTGCAGTTCATAGCCATCCTGGGCAAACAGTTTGAGTGGAATGGCTCAAGGTGTAGACCCTGAGTTCAGTCTCCAGTACTGCTAAAAAATAAATAAGTAAAATGGAGTGCTGAAATGACATTCTTTGATTTATTTGCAGTACTGGGATTTGAACTCAGGGCCTTGCAGTTGCTAGGCAGGCACTCTACCACTTGAATCATGCCCTCAGATCCATTCAGCCCTTTTTTGCTTTTACATATATTTCAGGTATGAGCTCCCGTTTTTGCCTCAACCTTGGAATCCGCCTGCCTACACACATAGCTGCAGAGCTGGGATCCCAGGTGCAAACCACCCTGCCCGGCTTGTTGGAGATGGGGTCTTGCTAAAGTTTCTTCCAAGACTGGCCTCAAACTGAGATCCTCCCATCTCTACCTCCTGAGTATCTAGGGTTACAGAAATGAGCCACTGTGCCCAGTTGATTTTATTTTTAAGTAATATAGTTTATAACTGAATTTTTAAGTCAAGTTTGTATTTTATATTAAAATTTACAAAATTAATATTATCAGTGGCTAAATCTACTTCATTCAATATTAAATCCTTTAAAAAGTTAGAAATTAATTTTAAGCTTAATTATTGTTTATCTTTGTTATTCAGTGACCCCCAGTAATCATTTGATAGGATTAAAACCAATTGTTTCAAAGACAGGGTAAAATGATAATCTTTTTCAATTGCGTCCTCAATTGAGGATATTACTATATATAATATGTACATATATGTATATATATAATATGTATATGAGCATATTACTATATATAATATATATAAGATGACTTTGAGACATTTAATAAATACTAAGTTCCTTCTCATTAAGATATCTCATCAAGTACTGAACTCTGAAGTTTTAATTAAAGATTCTGTTCAGGACTATATTTCAGCTGTTCACCAAATTCTATCATTTTAGGGTCAAAAATTGCATTTACTTGCTGGTGATTGTTTTGGAAAATAAGGTGATTGCTTTAGAAAGCTGCTAAAAACTCTGGGGGTTTTGGAACTGTAAGTTGCTAGGCTGAAAGCAAAGCTAGTACTTAAATGCAGTTGCTGTCCAAGATATGCATTTGAAAGAAAACTGATTCTATTGCAGAAACTATTGCTATTGTGGTGACACTTATCCTGGTTCCAAAGTAAGTTAAAAAAAAAAATGACGGTTTCCCTAATTCAGATTGTGAGTCCCCATTGGGTCACTTGAATCACCATTATGAACAGTTTAAGCAGGATAATTCATTACTTAGGGAAAATTTGTTTTGTTTTTAGTAGGACTGTAGGACATGTTTTGTTTTTCCAAAAAAACTGTTCTGAGAAGCTAAGCTCCTTAATGATGTTGTTTTACCTATTTATTTAATGTAGTTTCATTTTATGGATGAACAGAATCCCAAGGGAAGGGAAAAAGCAATTGTATTTCCAGCACATACAACCATAGCTTTCAGTGTTTTTGAACTCTTCATTTACCTGGATGGTGCCTTTGGTGAGTGAGTGATCTGCTTGAAACACAAATTATATTTTTAAAGGAGAATTTCATAAGAAACTCTTACTTTCTCTCTCTCCTCCCTTCCCCTTTCTCTATCTCCTCCTCTCCCTCTCCTTGTTTTATAATTATAGAACTGTGATGCATTTATCACTGTCAATCTTCTGTTTGGGTAAGGAGCTAGGAAAAGTCCTCCCTTCCTACTTATCCAATATTACCCAATACCTCCTTTCTGCTTCTTGGTGAAAGCTGTAGAGTCCCTATCACCTCACAATTATAGATGAGAGCTAAAATGCAACCACCGACAAAGTATTCCTTGTCTTACGTGGGGATGATAATCAATGACCTTCTAATAGGTATTTTTTGGTGGTGGCAAATACTTGTTGGTAGATACTAAGATGCCTGAAGTGTCAGGGCACCCAAAGTACGGTACCCGAAGATTTTTCTTTAGTTTTACCTGTATCACATACAACTTCCCCCCTGCACTTATCCTAAGAAAAATAACTTTAGAAGTCCAAATACTTCCTCCACAATTGTCATCTTGTGTAGCAGCTCAGTGAAGCTTACTTTAGTATTCTACATTTCCTAGGTTTTTAAGGTTAGTGGCTGCACAAACCTGCACAAATGCAGGTATAGCTGAAAAGGACTAGGCAAGGGAGCCCCCTAGCTGTAGCAATTTATCAACATTTTTAGACCCAGTTTTGTTCATTTCTGCAATTCTGTGGAGGAAAGGATAGGAAGTCTAGAAACAAAACTACATTTTAAGTAAATTCTATTTAGAACCCCATAGGTGTAGGATTTTACAATTATATTGGGATTTTAAACTCTAAATCTAAAACGTACATATACCTTGGCCTTACACTTGGGGGAATTCATCCTATGAATGTACTTACACATATGTGAAATGGTATGGATACAAAGATACTCAGTTCCTAACAGCAAAACATTGGAAACTACCTTAAGATGACTTGTAAATAGTAGTACATCCTATCCTTATAACAGAGTAGTATGAAGCTATTACATTAAGAGTGATGACTCTGTAGATCCTAACTTTGAGTACTCGCTAAGAAATATTAAAATTAAAAATTGAATATTAAAACATTTTAAAAATGTGTATAGCATGTAGCTATTTGGGCCTAAAGAATTTTATGCACATATTCCTTTATGGTTGTAAAAATACATGAAGTACTTTTGCAAACATACACCAGACACTTAACAGTGTCTCTTGGATGGAACACTGGTTGGGTACAAGGTGAGCTAGAGACTTGTCACTGTATCCCTTTTTTGTACTCTTTGACTTTTGTACCATGTGAATGTATCTTCCCCCAAACTTGTAATATTTAGCTCAGAAAAACAAAAGAATGGCATGTACCAGAATTCATTGACCCCATAAAATATCAACTAAATATGAGTTGTTGAAGTTATAACATCTTCTCAAAATTGTTTTGTAGACCTTTGTGTCACTTCAGTGTCAAAAGGAGGATTTGAAAGGGAAGATACGGCAACATTTGCACTGCTCTACAGACTGAGAAATATACTATTTGAAAGAAGTATGTCAATTGAAGAATTTCTTCTTGTATTAATGCTTGAGGTTATCTACTTAGTAATCCCATCTGATAAGGAAAAAAATTAAAAGATTTAGTCATATATTTGTAAATGCAGCTTGGGGTATATATTTTTTATTTTGTCCTCTAACACATTTGTTCTTGTCCTTCTAGATAGAAGAGTGATGGATGCCATTTCTCGTTCACAGTTATACTTGGAAGATCTTTTTTCTGACTACTATGACAAGCCTCTCAGCATGACTGATATTTCACTAAAGGAGGGGACTCACATCCGAGTCAACTTACTTAATCACAACATTCCAAAAGGGCCTTGCATACTCTGTGGAATGGGGAACTTAAAGAGGGAGACAGTCTATGGGTGCTTTCAGTGTTCTGTGGATGGACAGAAGTATGTGAGACTTCACGCAGTCCCTTGTTTTGATATTTGGCACAAAAGAATGAAATAAAAAGCAACATGAATATACTTTGTTGGTGTTTTAAGTTGAATTTTGCCATCAACCGTCCCTCAATTTTCTAGGTTTGCTTTGATGAATTAAGAGAGAATTAGAAAACCTGTGTGGACACCATTTTTCCAGGTATGAAGGCATTGTCCATCTGTTAACTTATTATGAAGAGTAGTAACATGGTTTATATAAAAAAGTCTAAATATAAAATTCAGACTACAGATGTTCCTTTACAAATTTGTCAGTTACTTTAGAACTTTTGAGATTTAGTCTATCATTTTGTAACTTTTTATATAATTGAGATCTTTCTAAACAGTAATTTTATTTTTAACCAAATTCTAACTCAATGTTTAAGGATGATAAGAGTACACAAGTGGCCACTTTATGGTCCTTTTACTAGTGACTGTCTGGTAAAAGGAGAAAAATGTGTTAATAATTTAATATAATTCTAAATGTTTAATTGCAGTATCAAGTTAAAAACATTGAGCTCAGCATGGTGTTTTGTGTGCATAGTTACATGATGATGGATGACAGTAGACTGGTGTTCTGTGATGTACATATGCTCACTTACTTACTTTATTGGCATATGATAGTTGTGCAGGGAGATATATTGTGATATTTACCTGTGTGCTTATATATGTCTTAGATTTACCTCCTCCATCATTATCCCTTCTTAGAACAATGTCAACAGGCTTCATTCTTCTGTTTTCATATATGGATATAAAATACATTTACCATATTCACCCTTTCCTGGTGACTACTCACTTCCCACTGGTGCCCATCCCTGGAAAAGCCCTATTTTACCTTCCTGTCCTTCATTTCTTTTTAAAGTTTGTATTTCAGACATGTATATATCATGCCTTAATCAGATTACCTACCTCCCCCCATTACTTATTCTTTCTCTGTCACCATGTTCCCTATTATCCAACAGCTTGCAGTGCACTGTGTTATAGTACATTCATATATATGGAATGTTTCAGTATTTTTCATTCTCTAACTCCTTTCCCTCTTCCACCTCCTGTAGTCCCCTCAGGCAGATCCACTAATACAATCTTGCACTCTTTCTCACTATATATACGTATATATGTAAAATCATATATGTATTTTGAGTACACTTAACTTATACGTCTAGCTTCCACTAATGAAGGCAAACGTGACCTTTGATTTTTGCGTATGCTCACTGATTTTGACTTCACAAAAACTCACTACTGTCAAGTTAAGACAGGACATGTCTATTTCTTCTTAGAAAATGTTTAAGACATTTAACATACTTAGTTTTGAAAGATCTTTTCCTTTTTTTCTTTGAGACAGGATATTGCTATGATGCTCAGGCTGGTTTTGAACTCTGGATCTCAAGCAATCTTCCTGCCTCAGCCTCCTGAGCACAAGCACACCCAGCTTAAAAGACTTTTTTCATCTACCCTGTAAGATGTCTGAGATTTTCAGACACAAATGACCCCAATTATCCACCTTTATTAAATTAATTGCAAAAATGTTAAAATATCAGAACTCAAAATGTAGTCACAGCACTCACTCGTAGACAAATTAATATAAAGACATAATGTAATATGTAGATTCAAAATACCTGCACACCACATGTACATAGAATGTAAATTATTGAAATGTAAAAGATTAAGGTGCATCTTTTATCCATTTAACATTATATATACTTTTCTTGTGGTACTGGGGTTTGAGGTCAGGCCTCATTTTTTTTTGTTTTTCAGATGGGGTCTCAAATAACTTTTGCCTGGCTCACACGTGTAGCATACAAAATCTTACATGTTTGAGTAAGTATGTGCCCCTTCTTTGGCACCATGATCTTTTCCAGCATCTCTTAACTTTCAAAAAGTCAGACCATCATGATTTGACCATGACACAAACTGCTATTGTATGGTGCACCTTCATTTGTAGCAAAAATACATTTTTACATTTTTTCAAAACTCGACAACATCCCAGTTGTAATGATCATTCACCACTAATGCTAAGAATGTTGTGAAATGAGTAACATAAAGGAAAGAGCTATCTAGAGAAAGGGAACTGTAAACTAAGAAATTCCAAGGCATCAATGAAAAACTATGGACAAAAAGTTTGAGGTAGTAGATATAAAGGCCGATGAAAAGGAAGAGGAACAGCACATTTACAATATTCTTTGAAGTACAGACTCTAGGCCTATTATAGGAGGAGGCAAAGTCTTTGATCTAGTCAAATATCTTTAAATATTTCCAGTTGAAACAAACACCCAAGGCCAGAAGCTTGACCAAAAAAGTACAGACTGTGCCAATGTTCTTTGTGGAACAGATATACAACCACTGTCTTCCTGCATGTATACCAAAGGAAGGTTCTTCAGTCCTCATTTTTATATACAATAATCACAACATTATGAAATGTATAAATAATGAGCATTATACATTATAACATTATGAAATGTTAGGTCCTAGTTCTCTACTGAGTATTTTATAAATGTAGGGCCTTTTAACATCTAAAATACTGGATCTTTATACATTCATACATACTGTTAATGTTAAATTGGGAAGAGCTAGCAGATTTTAATATGTATATATTCTCCCATATTCTGGGAGGACAGGGAGGGGTAATTACCCACTGGGGCACAGGCCCATTTCATGGTGCTGCAATTCACATTCATAGAAAAGAGCAACAGGAAACACAATTATACTATTTTTGAAAGTTACATTTGCAAAAGAGCCTCACATTTATTTTACCAAAATTACATGTATTGAGGGGAACAAAAATATCCTTTCATGGGGGAAAAACAACTTGGAGAGAAGTAACTTTGTTTTATATATAAAGTATAACAAATTGCTTATAAATGTAGAAATAAAAATATACTACAGCTCATCATGTTGGTATACATTATATTCCTTGGAAGAAATGAAGCCATCTCCATCATGGTCATTCTTCTTAAAAATATCTTCTAAAACTGCATTCTGATACGACTTGTCACGTGGTTTCTCATCTTTTTCAAATTCTCTTTTCAAGTAATGACTTATCTAGAAGGCCAAAGTAACACTTCTTTAATAAAAAGGCATCAAGAATTTCCAGTAACTTTGAGGAAGGTTCACAATAATGAAACTCCAAGACTACTTATATTAAATGGTACTAAGATTTTAAGAAGGTTTTGAAGCAATTTCTGAAGAGAAACAGATATTCAAATTAGCTCCCTCCTGAGGTCATAGATAGGTAGTGGTAGAAACACTGAATCTTGTTGAAATTAAATGTTCTTCAGTATTCTACACTATTCATATTCATCAAAGGAAAAAATCACTCTTAAGGGTTTCCCTTAGTGAATAAAATCCATACCAGCATCTCTATAATCTATAAGACTAATGAATATGTTGTAAAATCAATAAAACTCAGTCATGGGCTTTGAAATAAAATTCTCTATGCTTCTATTGCTCTCTCCCCAAGTTTACATAACTGTGATAAGCTAAAGAACAGGTGTTCTGAAGTATTTTCTGTTTCTCTATATAAAACATGAAATTTCTCCAAAATTCACTACAGATTCTGGAGACTTAACGAAAAGGTGTATCTCAGTGATAATTTTTATGTAGACTTCATGTTGAAATGGTATTAGCTTTGATATAGTGAGTTAAGCTAAACTGCTAAAAATTTCACTTACATCTTTTTACTTTATTCAATTTTATTTTCTTGAGACAAGGTCTTGCTATATTGCCCAGGCTGGCTGGAACTTGTGGGCTCCAGGAATCCTGACTCAGCCTCCCAAGTAGCTGGGACACTAAGTGTGCACTACTGTGCCTAACTTCTTTTTACTTTTTGAAATATGACTACTAAAAAGTTGTAAATTATGCATGTGGCTCAATTATATTCCACTGGAAAACACTAATCTATATACTAAAAAAATCTATATACTAAAAAAAAGCAAAGTATAACACCCTGGAGGTAATGTTCTGTAAGGCTGGGGCATTTCACAGGCAAGAGCGCTTTGTCTCCTAAAAAGTTTTCACAATTCATCAGGAATACAGTTTAGAACAAATCAGTGGGCCTTAATGTAGGATTCATCAACTGTTCTCAAATGCAACTTTGATCCTATATGAAAGAGTGATGTACTTTTTTTCTCCCAACTGAGTCTCAGCCCTTTGTAGGTGTAAAGAATTTTAAAGAGCATCGAAATCTGCAGAGTCTCTAAATAAGTATATTTATCTTTTCATAATCCATTATAGACAATGCTCAAAATCTACTCTTTTTGCCAGTACACTGTAATAGAGGTACAGAAAGATATGGGTAAGAACTTGACCTTAATTTTGCTAGTAATGGGTTGATATTATTTCTACTTTGAAATTTAATACTGTATCCAACCCCAAACTTACACTGAATTTATTAAATCTTTCTGATGACGAAGAAAGGAAGTTTCTGTTAGTTCATGTTTTAAATCTAGGCACTGACATATACTGGTTGTGTGATCTTGGACAAATGAATGTTTCTGAACCTTATTTGTGTCATCTGTAAAAGAAGGGAAATCTCTATATTGTAGGATTGATGTGACATTAGAGTGATGTTTGTGGGTGTTAATAAAAGATAGTATGTGAAAATCACTCTTACACAACTTGTAATATGCAGCTAACACCCAGTAGATACCTGGGAAAACTGTAGCTAGATAGATCACATTTTGGATTTCTCTACTTTTATTTTCCAGAAAAGAACTGAAGGTCCCCTACTGGCTAGGATATTCATATTGCAGAAGGCACCCCTGAGTGTGCCTATGATAATGGGCTGAGCTCTTGAGTGCTGCATCAACCTATCTGAAGCTACAGAGGGTGATGTGTCAACAGAGAAGTACACACTGGGAACAGTTAGTTCCTTGCAAACTCCTCTTCTAAAGGCACAGAGGACAGTCCCTTCTCCGTCTTCAACCCAATGCCTCAGAGCAAAGTCCTTACTAAGCTCCTGGAGGAAGTGGAATGGGGAGAGGACTGAAGAGAGGAAAATGACACAAAGAAAAAGGAGTTACTCTTATTTGAAATCAATGACCCAGTTTACTTCCTCCTTAGGTGGTAGTTATGCATTTTTAATTGCCTCCAAGCAAGTTAATGAGGGAGACAACTGGGTTACTCATAGTAAGCAATATTAAGCAAGAGTGCACTCAGTAGGATTAGGTAAGGCACTAGGCTTCAACAGAACAACCATCATTTCTGATACATTCATGAAAGAAATTCTCTGGGAGGCAGGGAGAACCAAGGTGAAGAGCACAATGCCAGAATGCCCAGGTTGCAATCCTTGGTTTGCCACTTGTAGCTTTGTGATATTTCCTTCCCCCTTTTTTGGAGGGGAGGGAAGGGTGGTAGTGGGGATTATGTGATTTGTTGTTAGTTTTGCCAGACAGACTGTCAGAGCACCATTTTTCCCATCTGTATGGAGGAGATGATGACAATAGTGTCTCTGCCTCATAAATTGTAATGAAGATGAGGTTAAGTTCATATACTTACATAAATGCTTATAATTGCATCTGATCCCAAGAAATATCAAAAAAAGTGTTATTTATTACTACTATTACTAAAAAGAGTAATCCCTCAATTCCTATATAAGGTTGAGCTGAACTCCCAGCTCCTTTTGCCCACCGAAATCAAATTCTTGCTAGTTCTTCACATAATCGCAGGTAATTCTCACAATCCTCTGAGGTAGGATTGTTTGCCCTGTTCTAAATTTCCTATGATGCTGGAAAAAACGATCCACTTGTGTATTCTAGAAGCTGGAAGAGCCCTGTCTACATGAGCAGTTTGGGATTTTAATAACCTCCTTGCCCAGAGAAATGTAACTGAACAGAATGACTCTTCAGTTTTATATTGGAAAAGCATATTTTCTTCTCAGAGTTTAGATTTTTCAGTAAAGTTAAGTGATCAGTGTCATGCCACATACAACTAAAATATTTGCAATACAGATGAACTTAAATTATAATGAAAACTTAGACTGTACACATGCAATTTGAGTTACCTCAGTTTTAGAGAGTTGCCTGTCATTGTCCGTGTCTATCTGTTTAAATGTTTCAATGCTCCGAGGTCCTCTGGTCACAGCATAAAGTTCAATCTCAAAAATCAATGTTGCATCAGGTGGAATCTTGCTTTCTGCAAAGGCTATTAATTTTTAACAGATGACATATATAAGAAGACATGTTTCAAATACTTATTCACAGAGTCATAATAGCATTATGATTATATTATTTTGTATTTATAACAACTGTTTTTCTAAATACCTTAAACATTTTTTTTGTCTTAAAAGTTTTTTGGCCAATCACACTTTTTTTGGAGCTTTTCTTATTTTATAAGCACTTTTTAGGAACATTTTTTTCCATGTATTTTTAACTAAGTCAGGTCAAAGGACCTACAGGACAAATACTAACTAATTAAATTAAAATCAATACAAATGATAGCATTTTTATCAATATACCCCTGTGATCATTCACATAGGAGGTGGTACTAAGAAGTGTATGAGCAGAAAAAATTCTGTAATAAATAAGTAATCCCTTAAAAAATGATTTTGTGCAATTATTTAGAAGCATAAATAAAACATAAAGATCAATGTTTTCAAAATTCTTTATGTCTATAAAAAGAAAGTACAATGACAGAAAAATCCAGGAGGATTTTACAAATAAATTTCTAATCACATTGGTAGAACTGGGGTTTGAATTCAGGGCTTTATGCTTACAAAGCAGACACTCTACTGCTTGAGCCACTCCTCCAAGCCCTAATCACAATAATTTTAAATATTAAGTTGAATAGTTCTCTTTAATAAAGTTATTGGTCAGCGATATCACAGATGACTTTAGTAAGCTACTGGCTATTTCAGATAAACATCTCATAAGAATGATGTGCAGAAGTGAACTGCTCAGAGGCATAAGTAGCTCCTAGCTCCAGTGTACTCCCTGGGTCTTCCTCAGTACCGGATCTATTATGTGCAATGAAGGATCTGCTGAAGGACTTATTTTGAAAGTGGCTAAGTTTGTCCTTTGAAAGAAACAGCAATTTTTTAAAATGAAAAGATACCAAAAGTTATCTAATTTTAAGAGAAAAGAGTGCAAGCTACAGCCAAAAGGAGAGGTGGATCAGTAATCTCCAAAACCTACCCATGCATCGTGACTGCTGGGCTACATATTACCTGACTTTAAAGAAGACAGAGAGATTCAATGATGATTTTTACAAAACCCATTCCTATTCTGTCTACTTACCATAGGACAGAAAAATAACTTCTCTTGACAATGATTAAAGACAAATTTAAAACACACATTTTTTTTTTTCATTCTGTGCTGGGGATCAAACCTGGGGCTTCCCTAGTACTATGCTAGGCAAGCGCTCTACCACTGAGCTACAACCCCACCTCAAATTCAAATTTCTTAAGAAAAAATATCACATACATATGGAGTTTCTGAACAAGTCTACTCTAAATACAGACAACCTTCCTAATTAGTTCTTTTTCTTGCAAAAAAATTAAAGTATGATAGAAAAAACTATGCATTTGCTATAGAATTACTTATATTTAGAAGCAGATCAAAGAGGCAGGAGTTAATGTAAGGAATCTATACGTACCATATATATCATTAGTTAAAGCACAAAAAAATCACATGCATTTCAAGACATGCAGGGGTGTTCTGTGACATGAGACAAGGACATTTCACAGAGGAAAGACTTCTTCAAGTATTACCTAAAATAAAGTTACAGCTGTTAGGCCTTAGTAAAAACTTACTTTAAAAAGCTTATGTAATCAAGAAGCTATTTGTTAAATAGTTATGGTCTGTACTACAATTTTGAACATAATCTAATCCAAGCTACTGTAATGGAGGTAAGGCCAGCAGTTAACTATGCTCCAATGTACATACATTGTTGGGCTTCCGTTTCCCTGTGTAAAGTGGAGGTTCCTAATGATACCCATTATTTTTGTGTTTGTTGGAGATACTTCAAATCAAACGTGAAGTACTCCTCAAGTCAAACTTCTATATCCCTCCAGCAAGGGTCTGGCTTATTAATAGCTTACACAGTCTGGGTAGTCATTTATATCTAAGCATAAACTAGTTTTTGAAAGGAAAAATGAGGGAAGCTTAAACAGGAGGATTACAGTCCAGGAGGCTTAGAAATAAATGAGATGCTAGCTTAAAAATAACCAAAGTAAAAAGGGCTGGGTCTAGGCTTAGATGGTAGAGTGCCTGCCTTCAAATTCCAGTACTTCCAAAAAAAAAAAGAAAAAGGATAAATGAAGCAATCATTTGCCTAGGCTAATGGACCCAGAATGAACATCTACTGATGAGGAATGTGGGTGCTCTAGGCAGATAGAGGAGTGGGTGCTCTGGTGGCAGGCAGAATGTAGAGGCATCTTATGAGCCAGCACAAGAGAAAGCATCCTATGAAACAGATAAAAGAGATGGAAAGGAAAATTTAAAAACTGTATTGTATTTAACCATCTTCAATTTACTTTCTCTCCCACGTTCCTCTATAAATAAAAACAGGATGTACAAATTATGGCACCAGGGAGCTGTTGTGTGTGTTTGGCACTGGAGTCCAATCCTGGCTTTGCATATGCTCTCTCCACTGAGCCACAACCCCAGCCTGGGGTTTGACTCTACAGCTTGAGCTTTTTGCTCTGGTTATTGTGGAGATAGTAGGGTCTTGCTTTTTGTCCAGCCCACTTGGACCACAATCCTCCTATCTTATGCTTCTGTTGTCATACTACCACACTCAGCTATTGGTTGAGATGGGGTCTGGCAAACAGTTTCCCCCAGGCTTGCCTGGAACCCTGATCTTCCAGTTCTCAGTCTCTCAAGTAGCTAGAAGACATAAGCCATTAGTGAGTACCTGGCTCCCAGGAGGTATTTTGATGGGGCTAATGATTAGTAAAAGGTATTGAAAATGAAGGTATAGTTACGTGGATTCATGTCGAGGAGTTTTAGGTCTGACTAGGCTTGCACACTCACCTTCCTGGGACAGTGACCCCTGCTCTTGCTAGAGAGAACAAGAGAGGGAATCACTGTTCTTAACGACTAGATCAGCAGCCTCTAAGAAGGCATGTCACCTCCACAAAATATTTGGGAGTAATGCCAGTATCTTTCTGTATAGCCTTCACACAGCAGTAAGAAGAAAGGGCCTACCTGAGGGTTTTAGGTGGAACTTGTCCTCTGTTAGACTGCTTAACCCCCTTTAAAATTTCCCTGGTATACAACACTAAATTTTAGAAAAATTAATATGGGCACATGACAAAAAATTTAGACAGTGCAAACAATGTAAGAAGAAATTACTCTTAAGTCACTCTTGACCCTCAGGCCTCCTTCCCTAACACTGTTATCAGATGACTATTGTCTGTAGATACATGTATGTGTGAAATCCCCGCCTCCACAACCCAAGCTCTTGAGGATAGTGAATGTATCTACTTCATGCCCAGTGTCCAGTGTCTAGAACAGATCCTGGCATAGATGCTCAATAAATATTCGTTACAGGAATATATTCTATTCCACTTAATGTTAACATGTTAATACACATGGCTCTATCTCAGGTTTTCTTGGCTACATAGCAATCCAATATACCATAATTTTTTTGACTAACTTCCTACTGATGTTTAGGCAGTTTCCAATGTTTTGCAATCTTTTGGGCACGTTCCTAGAAATGTAATTATTGAGTCAGATGAGAAGTGATTTTTACTTTTGATAGAATTTGTTAGAGAAGTCCAATGGTGCAACAATGCAAGAAAGGTTAGCTTTTTCTGTACCTTTGATATCTTTTTGTGTCTTTGCTAATTTGACGGATGAAAAATGGTATCTCATTTTCATTTTCTTTTAATTGTAAATAAAATTAAGTATCTCATGCATTCATACACTTAAGGGTTATTTTATTTATTTTTGGGGGGGATGGAACAGGGTCTTGGTATGTAGCTGAGGCTGGAACTCTGGATTTTCTTGCTAAAGTGCCCCAGTGCAGGGACTATAGTTATGCATTACCATACCTGGTACTATTTGTAATTTTTAAAATTAGTTTGCTTATGAACTTGCCCATTTCTAGGGCTAGGTCACTTTTATTACCAGTGAGAGAGCCTTTATTCATGTGTTGCAAACATGTACCCATTTATCTGCTTTCTGTAGGTTTGCAGATATTCTTCCTCTAGAATTTTAGAAATGGGCATAACACTGAAGGAACAAGTTCATACCTTCCACATTTCAAGGATTAGGGTAACCCTGACTGACAGCTTATCATCTCTCAGATGTTACTTTTACAATGTTCCAATGCTGTCCTTTTACTCTAAAATCATGTTTCAATTTCCTTTGTTTTATTAATTTAACTTTGGTATTGCTTACCAAAGATCTGTGCTATAAACATATATGTAACAATAATGTAGACTAAAAACAAAAATGTCCAAGGTAGAGCTTATAGAATATACACAATCACTATGAGTGTTGTGTCTATGTGAAGGAAAGAACTCTGGCCAGAAATCTAAATTCCAATGATATCTCATTTTCTTTAGAAGTAAAAAGGAGGGTCTGGATTGAATTAGATATGGCTAGAGTTTGTTGGAGCCTAAGGCTCTGTAATTATTTTTTCTGTTTTTTAAAATTTTTTATTTTGGTAAAATAAGTGTAATAAAGTTCACCATCTTAACCACTTTTAAGTATACTGTGCAGGAGTATAAAGCGTAACCAGATTATTGTGCAACCTATCTTCAGAACTCTTTTTATCTTGAACACTGAAACTCTATACCCATTGAACAATGCAGCTGACTTTTGCCTTCTCCCTCCAGACTCTAGCAACCACTCTTCTGCTTTCTGTTTCTATAAATTTGACTCTTCTTGGTACTTCATATAAATAGAATCATATACTATTTAACTTTTTGTGTCTGGCTGATTTCACTCAGCATTATATCTTCAAGGATCACCCATATTGTAGCATGACTCAGAATTCTCTTCCTCTTTAAGGCTGACTAGTATTCTATGTACATGCCCCCATTTCGTTTAGACACTCTCCTGTCTTTGGACACCTGGGTTGCTTCCACCTTTTGGCTACTGTGAATAATGCTGCTGTGAACATAGATGTACAATATCTATGCAACTTGCTTTCAATTATTTTTATATACACACAGAAGTCCATTATTTATTTTTAAATATAGCCAAAAAAAGAAAAACATTAAAACACATTACCATAGCCTTCCTTTCCATATGCAAACGAAGGAGGTATAATCACTTTTCGCTTCTCTCCAGGACACATACCCATCATAGCAATGTCTAAGCCCTTTATGACTTGCCCAACACCAAGAACAAACCATTTGGGGTGGCCTTCATTTTGTGTCCGGCTATAATAAAAAACAATACTTAGGTAAGCTGATCAAACTTGAAAATACAGCTGGGTATTTAGTTATAATTTAAAACTGGAGTCTTGTTTCTGGTATCTGCAAATCTTCTGAACTCCCTTGTGAGGTATTTGCCAAACTTCCCTGTAATTAGCAGAAAGATGTATCATTTGCTCAAAGCCTGTCATTAGCAATCATCTCATTTTCTTTTTTATGGTTATAGTTACAAAAACTCTTCAACAGTTAACTTTTTAATGGGTCTCCTGCCTCTAACTAGCTTGTACATGCAACTCATTTAACTTCTCTGAGTTTGTTTAAAAAAATGTAACCTTAGGCTCAAATTTCAATTTAATAGTAATTTAAAGTAGCATCTTTTCTTAAGTTTCTCTTTTTTCCTAAATAGGAAGAACTTACTTCTCCAGGCCTATTTTTATAGGTAATAGCATAGATAAGGAAGGACATTGTGCCTGGGACTAACAGAACATCAATTAAATCAGACTAGGTAGCTGCTGGGATGAGCATAGGCAGGTCAGGCCCAGCAGAAGTCCCAGGGAAGGCATGTTAGTAATACTGGCAGTAGTTTGATAGTGACCCCCAGCCTGAAGGCCAGAATGAAATCGCTTTAGCTAACCTGTGTATACTCTCTGGAAAGAGACGCCGCGTTTGGGCAAGGGGAAAGCAGCTCCTTGAATTAGTTCTAGGGTGGAGATCCCAAGGATAGTAGGGGTGGTGGTGGAGTGTACAGATGTAGTGGATTTTTTTTTTCTTGGGCTAATGTTTTCAATAATTTAAAAAACACCCAGTTTACTAGGGACTTACTGTCATCCGATTTTTTTTCTGTGACTTAATGATTCAATTTACTGTTTAGTAAACAAAACAATTAGATTTCTGATTGGTGGAGGGAAGCGAGAAGTGGTGCATCACCTCACTGGGCCTGGGAGCAGTTCGCAGCATCTCTTACCTGCAGTAGAATTTCGAGCCATCTTTAGCCAAGTAGCCGTCGTAATGGGCATTTAGCAGGTCTCCCTTCTTGCTGGTCTTAGAGCAGTTTTCTGGACGATGCAAAACTTCTATTTTCACTTCTTCTGTGTTTGTCTCTTTGTTCTGTCCCTGAACAGTTATTCCCCACAGGTAAAATAAGATGGCTAATATGGATAAGAAATGCATGGTTCCCGGAGCAGGCCCACAACACCCCAGCGCTCCCCACCGCGTGTCTTTAGTGCCTGATGGCCTCGGGCTGAGCAGAGTTCCGACGCGTGGCAGGCGTTTGTCCTGCGTCACAAAGGGCCCGGGCGGGGCTGCGCGAGGCCACGCCCCCTCCCTCCCCGCGCTCAGCGCCGCTGATCCGCGGGTCCCGGGGTGCAGTTTGTCCCCGCGGTACTGAGTGCCGGGGCTGGCTGTCCTCAGTTGCTAAGGTAGCCCTGCACACTCAGACCCCAAGTATGCATAGCATATTTTTACCGTGTCTTCCTTCCGGGTTCAGTAGTAATACTCGAGTTTCCTAAAATAACTGGCAAAAGACCAGAGAAATAGCCCAAGGTGAGATGTTCTAGAGAATACGGTTGTCATTTCTGGGCTCAAAAGTCTTGTCCTAAAGCCCCTGGGGAACTAGTGGGCATGGGGGTGAAGGACATTGTGGAAGAAGAGCGTGAAAAATAGGTTTGCGGAGGATGCCCTCTAGGTGTTTCTGGGGTGTCCCTGAAAGGGCTTTCAGCGGGTCGGAGTCTTGCTCCAGGCTGCGTCGGTTACGTGCACTCTGAGGGCCACCTGGACTCCCAACAGAACCAGCGGTGCTGCGGGGCCCCCAGCCTGGGGAAAAGACATTCCAAGCGCTCCGGACCTGCTTGCGTTTCTGTCCCCCGCCTTTTGGGGGCGCTCTTGACTTGAGAGCCTTTAGCAGGGTGTGAAAGTGACCGTTTTTCTTGCCAAGACGGGAAACTTGAGTATTGGGCATTTTGTTCCCGTCTCACAATTAATATGGAGCAGAAATTGGGCCAAGTCTGATTAATGCAATCTCTTCCATTTTAGTACGAAAAAACCTTTCAAAGAACAGAAAAGTTGAATTTTACAGTGAAAGCCTTATTCCCACCACTTAGTCTATCATTAATCAATACTAGATTGATTACACATTCACCTATCTACCCATCATGTCACCTCATTTCCAAAAGAATATCCAGAACCACTGAACCAGAAAGCCTTCAGGGAAGGCCTGGGGCGGATTCTGGCAGAGGTGTTGTTCTAAGCCTCAGCCCCGGGGCCTGCTTTATGTTATGGTTTGCAAAATCCCATAAATCTGAAAATTATTGTCCATTATGTAAGGTGACGATCACTTCCAAGCAGGATTTTCAAAACTCCTAAAAGCTAGGGGAAACTCCCTATTTTTCTCATAAAACTCCAAAGCTTAGTTCCATGTTTGATGTTCTAAATAAAACTGTGGCTTTCCAAGGTTATTTATTGGCATGAAGACAATCCCTTGGTGGACCCCATCATTTTGCACTGTCTTGCCTAGGAGATCATCTGTCGACCACCGAAGTGTGCGAAGGATAGAAAGCACACGGAAAAATAAGTCTTTTATTTTCTTTAAAAAAAAAAACAAACCAAATAACAACAAAACCCCCCAATCATCGAAAGAACCGAGGCTTCGTTGTTGGAAAGCCCAAGTCCTAACTCACTGCCCATGGGATAAGTGCGGGAGGGGCCGCGGCCGGAGGACGTGGAGGCTGGGCATCCCCGGGGATGCGGGCCGCGGCCGGGGGACCGGGAGGAGGAGGAAGAGGAGGAGGAGGGCAGCGCCGAGCGCAGGACTAGGGGCCGCGCAGCCTCGGGCACGGCGGCAGCCAACCGCGCCCGCCCCGCCAGCCCCGCCGCCGGGGAGGGGTTTCCCGGGACGCGCCGGCCCCTTTCATCCAGGAAGTGAAAGCGACGTCGGGGTCAATGAAAACAAACGGGGAGCCTAGGGAAGGAAGGCGGGCGAGGAGGAGGCCGCGCCGGGGCGCGGGAGGAGACAGCAGGCCGCGGAAGGGCGAAGGAAGGGCGGCGGCGGCGGCGGTGGTGGTCGCGTGTTGGGGGTCGCCGCCGCCGAGGCCGGCCCGGGGATGTCCGCGCCCGCGCCGGGCGGCGCCCGAGCTCCACGCGACGCCCGCCGTCCCGGCCTCTGAGGGCCGCCACGTCCCGGCGGCGCGTGCGGCCCGAGGGCGGTTTCGGGCCGGCGGGGGCTCCGTGGAGGGGCCCGGGGGCAGGAGGCCCCGCGCCCACCCCGTCAGCGCGGCCGGGACCGCCAGGAGGATGCGCGCTGCCGGGCTCTGAAGCATGGAGGGGGTTCTGTACAAGTGGACCAACTATCTCACAGGTACCGGGGCGCGGCAGACCCCAGGGCCCGCCTGGGGCCGGGAGGCTGCGGAGATGGCGGGCCCGGGACTCGGTCTCCAGCTCCTGGCCCGCGGCCACCCTGTTGTGCTCAGTTCCGGGGCTCAGTGGCCCTCGTGGGGCGAGTTCGAGGCCGCGCACCGTACTTTGGGGATCCTCCTGTAACACCGCGACAGTTCCCTGCACCCCCCCTCCCCACATGTGTTGCTGCACCCTCGGCTTTTATTCACACTTCATCGTCAGCATTTTGTTAATCACTCGGTTGTCGGGGTATTGGACTAGCACGGACCCTGGAAGATTGGGGTTTCATTTTCAGAGATGTTTCCTGTGTTCCTTTTGATTTCGTTCGCACTATCGTAAAAGCCCACTTGTTGAGGGTGTTGGATGCAGCGAGCTTGGATTTGGAAGCTGTGCTCAGGAATTATCTCTTAGCTGTTGGTTTTCAATGAGGTCTCCTTACGTTTGGAAATCAGATAACTGAGAAATAGTGGGAGGAAGAACTGGGCACAGGAAGGGAGCAGAGAGTCCCATTCACCCTTGAGGTGGGTTAGAAGGAAGCAAGTCAAAGTTGGGTCTTGCTGTAGAAATTGGAGTGTAGCCCTTTTCCATGAGACTGCTTTATTAAAAGCCTCTGAAGTCTGAATTGTAGCCCATTCTTTACTATCAACCAACACTAAAGGCAGCGGCTTATTATCTCAAGATCTCAGTTGGGTAGGGCTAGGGTGAACTATTTTATCCTGAAGGTACCTTCCAGCTCCTCAATTCTGTGATCTCACCAGGGTGGAGGAAAGGGGATGAGTTTAAAATAAATTTGAGCTTTCTTGGTCCAGCGTAATAGACAAATCTTGACTTCATGTCCACCTGCTCTTCCGAATGTCTTGAGCCCCTGAGTAACTGTATGGTACACTCAACCTGTGTCCACCTGATCGTGGGCAAAATCTGCACATAAACATGTTGAGGCTTAAGTGCTGAGCTGAACTTAGTTGAATTTGATTTTTGATTAATTAGAAAGCTAAGCCAGATTTACAGCAGCAACTGCTTTCATTACATGGATGTTTTATTTTATTCTCTAGATACTATGTTTTAGCAGGAACATTTAAAACAGAAAGCAATTTTTTTTTCTAAGCATTTTCATTTGTGAGAAGTGCATGTACACTGATTGAGGTGTTGTGTTAGCTATTGGACCGGGTAGCTTGTATGCTTTGAGATGCAGTTGCTTGCCTCATTGATTCATTAGCACTTTGTCCTGATAGGTCATGTTAGGGGAACCATTTATGCATGGGTCAGGGTGGTGGCAATTACTGATGGGAGTCATAATTTGAGGTGAAGTTCACTTGGGGTGAAATGTGGTCTTGGTGGTTTCTCATCTCTTGCAGTTCTGAGTGTCAGCAGGTTAAGCATGTAACTAACTACTTGTGCTTCAGGCTTTAGTCTTTGTAGAGCATTTTAGCTCATTTCTAGTAAGCAATGTAGAGCTTGCTGCAATGAAATCTTTTGCTTGGAAGAATTCTATTTTTAAAATTAATTTTAAAATTACCTCCATGGCATGCTAATTATTAATTTTATTTATACTAGGTCAGAAATGAGTAGCTAAGTGGTCTTTAAGGAGCCTTCCAATATAATGAGAACTTTTTTTTAGAGAAGAGTTTCAGTAACATTTGGTAGTTTGAGATAAAAATACGCTTTTTTCAAACAGAATTTTAAAAAGGGAATAACTTGTGAATTTTTTTTCACAGGTACAATCTACTGTTGTGTAAATGTGCGACTCAATTAGAGATTGTTACATTAAATATTTCTTCAAAAAGGTGTGGAGAAATAATTAACAGATTTGATTAGAGCAATGTATTCAACCATGGTCACTTTCATGTTTCTGCAAGTTCTAAACGTGTCATTTTGCCCACTATTTGTTTTAAAGAGATATTGAATCATAATAATGCAGCCTTGCAAAATCATGATTTGCCCTATAGGCCCACTGGACCTGGAATGGAGTATATATTTTCATCACATTCTGCTTCTAATTTGTTGCCAAGGTGAATTAGTATTTGGAAAGATAATGTATTCATTCATTCATTTTTTCAGTCACTTGAGAAATTCATTTATTTTAGCACCTGTTATATTCTAGTCACTCTTCTAGTTGCTTGGGAATGCATTGATGAACAAAATAAAGTCCATGTATCAAACGAATTTGCCTTCTAATTTGGCAGCCTTGCCTTCATTAGAGAATGTAGTGTTCATAACAATGAATTTTCCAGGTGTCTGAAGCTTGCTTGGTTTATCCTATTTATTTTGGACATCCATCTTTCTGGACTGCTTTATGGCATTCCCTGCCTTCTTAAACAAGGTATACAAAGTAAAATTTGGGCTCTTTACAATGACTCAGCATTGTCATTTCAAAAGTGTTAGAGATAAATGGCCTTTAGGGGAGCTAAATCCTGGATCTGTATCAAGGTATAAGAACTGTTCACCCTTTTGCCCTGTCTTGGTACTGTCTGGCCCTGGAAAATGACCAGGATTTGAATAACCCGTGGTTTAAAAGGTGGTACAGTTTTGGCCTAGACCACCTGTGTTGCATTGTGACATACTAGTTACAGAAAGAACAAAGATAATCACACTGCTGGCAGCATGGTCACTGTGTTATTAGTAGCATGCTTGATAAGATTCCAGGGAACACTGAGTGTGGCTTGAGGGAGAAGTAGGAGGTGGGCACTGAGGAAAGCCATCATCCTGACACCAGCTTTGCCTTAGAGCCAAGTCTTTGGTAGGTGTGTGCTCTGGTTGCTAAGTAACTGGACTAGATGAATGATTGATGTGTCTGGCATGTCTGTCTTAGCTGTGTATCAGCAGAGAAAGAAGGAGTGGTGTGGGGAATCTAAGTTCTTACCACAGAGGGCAGCTTCTCTGTGAAGGACCAGAATTCCTTTAGCTCTCACTGTACCCAAGGGAGGTTGCTTAGGCAATATGTTTCATAAGAGAAGGGAGGTCACATTGCAGAAGCAGAGGATCAGGTTGCACCTGAGAGTTACCTTGTTCAACACACTTGTTTTGGAGATTGAGAATCTTAGAGACTTATTGAAATGCGAAAATGTGCCACAGGTTATCCAACACCAACAAAAGTAGAACTGGGGCTAAAATCCCAGTTTTCTGTTGGTTTTTCCATTATAGGATGAACACCCTTAATTTGAAATGCCCCAAATCCAAAACTTTTTGAGTGTTAACATTCTGCCATGGTGGAAAATTTCACACCTGACTTCATGTGATATTGTATAGAATTGCTGTGTGAATAAGGTATACATGAAACACAAATGAATTTCATGCTTAGACTTGGGTCTTGTTCCCCAATATCTCATTATGTATATGCAATCCCCAAATCTGACATCTGAAATGCTTTTGCCTCCAAGCATTTTGGATAAGGGTACTAAGACTCATAAACTTAAAAGTTTGAGAAGAAAAAGGTATAGTATACTCTTTGCAGGGATATCATTGAAAATGAATTGTTAATGAGAAGGTTGTGAGCTAGAATAAAAATGTTACTCTATTTATGCTAATATAGAGATTTCCCATCGACAATGTGGATATTGTTGGAAGGACATTTTGGGCAAGTGTTGGCTATTAAAAATTACATTGTCAGAAAAAAAAAATCATTGTCAAAATGTTATGTAAGCACCAAGAGTACAATAAGATTTGAAATCACAGTTTTCTGTGTGATAAAAGTAATTTCCTAATAACCTTTTTCTATTTATGGTCTTTGTAGGTTGGCAGCCTCGCTGGTTTGTTTTAGATAATGGGATCCTATCCTACTATGATTCACAGGATGATGTTTGCAAAGGGAGCAAAGGAAGTATAAAGATGGCAGTTTGTGAAATTAAAGGTAAGTGAAAATGTGTAATTAGAGGAACTGGAGGGCTCGATAGCATGCTCCAAACAAGGAAAAAAGCATTTCTGTGTAGGGATTTTTTAATACCATTTATTTCCTTCATAATCAGGGGTGGCATTTAGCATTCTCAAACACAGGTTTTGATAATTCTCCCTCTTATAAATGTATTTTGAATTGAAATTCAAAATACTTGCACTAATCCTCCAATATGGACTTGACAAATAATTTGTGTTTGCCACTTGTGTCTATGTGTGTCTACATGTGTTCTTTGGCATTCTTATGGACAGATACTATAAAGGTTGAAAGTTGAGTTCTGAAGATGAATAGGCCAGCTTTATAGAAGGGCTTTGCTAAAGCACAAGGTTGGAGTCAGAAGCTCTGGTTCTCTGCTGCATTGGAGATAAGCCCTTTTGGCTGATATAGTTTCCTTTTCTTCCAAAAGTGGGAAATAAAGCAGCAGGACGTACTGTAATTTTCATGGAGGTTTCATGGACTGTTGATTTATTCCTGTGTATAGTTGGAGTGCGTGGGGTGAAAGTAGGTAGAATGAAATCAGACACAATGATAATAAAAAAACTTAAATTCTTCAAAGAGAATTGAAGAAAAATGAGAGCACTGAGGAGTGAATGATAAATTCCTTCCACACCTTTCTCATGTCTCTTCTGCAGCTTGAGTACTTATCCTCAGAGACGGGTAATTTTCTTTTCTCTCTTTTGGCCATACTGGGTTTTGAACTCAAGGCTCCAGCTTGCTTTGCAGGTGCTCTACCACTTGAGCCATGCTCCTAGCCTTTTCAGCTTTTAGTTTAGTTTCAGATCGTTCTCATGCTTCTGACTATGACTGGCCTTGCTAAGTTTTTTTTTTTCAATCTCTATCTCCACCTTTTAAGTACCTGTGATTACAGAAGTGAGCCACCATGCCCAGCTAAGAGTAGTTCTTTTGACGTGTGAGCTCTTGTTCAAAGCTGTCAAATGCTTCATAATCATCTCACTTTTCTATGCATTGTCTTATTTAGATTAAACCAAAGCAGTCTCTAATGCATTGTGCTATATTTTTCCAGGGGCTATATTTTTCTAGGGCTGGATTTCTACTTTTCTGTGATTTTCTGATAATTACTAGATTTAGCTAGAGGCATGCGATTGTTTTTCGGCTACAGGTCTGGCTCATCACCTTTGTTGCAGAATTGCTACTAGTAGTGCTCTTTTTTTTTTTTGTCTTTTTAATTTTTTGAGACAGGGTCTTGTTGTCTTGCTTTTTGAGCAACTCAATATCCTCTTGCCTCAGCCTCCTCAGTCCTGGGATTATAAGCATGCATCACCATACCTGGCTTAGTAGGGCTCTTTCAATATCAGTGATTCTCAGCTTGAGTACACCATATTACTGAGAGCTTCAGTTGGGAATTATTACTGTTTGAAATGGAAAGGAGTCATGGCTATAGAAAATACAGAGACACTTGAGCTTGGTGGATTGTGATTTTGTTATTTTTAACAAACATAACTGAAACATGTGCCAATAAGTGCTGACTTACCTGTGCTCATTTGTGGGGTCTGTGTAACTCATTTTCAGCTATATGATCATTACCCATAACATTTCAGAAGTCCTCTTTTGGAACTGCTTCTGAACCATTTATAAATATACAAGAAAAGCACATTCATTCACAGTATTAGTTTTTCTTTAAAAAGTGATAGTTTTATATCATCTTACCCCTGTATTTAATTCCAAATGTGGTTTGGTCAGAAATCAAACCTACGTTCAAACTTCAAAGTTAGGCCAATTTTTTTTCAGTATGTATCTATAACACATAGTGGAATTTGAATATTTGGATATTCTTACATTCAATTTTAGTAAGTGTTAAAGGACAAAGTTACTTCTCACATTTAAAATATATGTCACAAGTTTATTTAGGACTGTGGCAATAGATATAGGACTGCTGCAATGGGGTTTCTCAATACAGGAGTGAGGTTGAGTGAAACTTCCGATGCACTACAAAAATGGGAGTTTATCGTCAAGGAGCAGGATGAGGGGTTGGGAAATGGAAAGTTACAAAGTGGAGATTCCAGCTATATTGACATAATAGGACTCTTGCTGAAGGCAGGCCAAGATGATCAGTTTCCCCCCCACCACCCCAATGGTCAGGAATGAAGAATTTAGTCAAATTAGCATGATGATAGGTCAGGGTTCCTGTTGAAGATGGAGGCTCAGTCTAGCAGAGAACTCAAAGGAGCCTAGAGAACATTTATTTAGTCAAGGGGAGACTCATTTTAATAGATAATACTAAACCATTTTCAAAGTGTGTATTAATTTATTCATCAGCTACCAGAGTATGAGAGTTCTACACTTAATACCAATTTAAAATTTTTGACTATTTCTAGTTAATATAGTGGCTAGTGGTTTTAACTGGCATGTCTAATAACTAATGAGGTTAAGTATTTGTTTTAAGTATTAGTTAGCCATTTGAGTGTTTTCTTTTGAAGTCCCTTTTTAAATCTTTGTGCCATTTTCTAAACTTTGATATCCTTCATGTTGATTTGTAGGAGTTTTGTAGAGTCTGGATGAATTTTTATATTTCAGATATCTTCTCCCACTATAGTTTGTGTTTTTAGTCTATGAATAATATCTTTTACTGAAAGATAAGTTCTTAATTTTAATGAAGTTCAATTTGGAAATTAATTTCTATTAGAACCTTTTATGTTCCGTTTAAGACACTTATACATGATTTTCTTCAAGGTTTATTGTTTTTATGTTTTATATTTAGGTCCACATTAGATCAGCAGTAAAATTTATTTTTATGAAGGGTGTCAGGTAGGGGCTAAGATTCATTTTTTTCTCATGTAGATATCTAGTTGACTGAACACTTTTTTTTTTTGGAGGTACTGGGGTTTGAACTCAGGTTTTCACACTTGCTAGTCAGGCACTCTGACAGTTGAACCACTCTGCTAGTCTAACTGAACACAGTTTTTGAAAATAGCTATATATTTCTTCTACTGCCCTGTAGTGATGTCTTTGTCACAAAGCAAGTGACAATGAATGTGTGGGTCTTTTTCTGAACTATCTGTTTTATTTTATGAGCCTATTTTTCTATCCTCTGCTAATATCGCACTGTCTTAATTTCTTAAGTCTTTTTTCTAACTTGTTCTCTTTTCAGTGTTGTCTGCTTTTACTGGCCCTTCGCATTTCCTTAGACATTTTAGAATGTGCTTATAAATTTCAATAAACACATGCCAAAAAATTTGAGTGGAATTTTGATTGTAATTGAGTCTGTAGATCAATTTGAGGAGAATTGTATCTTAACAATATTGAGCCATCTGATCCATTAATATGATTTATCTCTATATTTAATTAAGGATTTAATTTTTTCAGTAATGCTTTATAGCTCTATGTTTAGAGGTCTTGTTCTTCATATTTTCCTGGGGAATTGATGTTTTAGAAGCATCATTTTTAAGTTTGTTGCCTTTTCAGGTGACAGCTTTGGAAAGGACCACCCTTAATTGGATACATAAATTTTACTGTGATTAAAAATTGTGCCATCATATTTTAGTTTCATCTTGTAGCAACATGAAGTTAGTGTTGTTTTAAAGTAGATGTTGTTTTCACTAGTATTAGCAATTAGCAAAAGATTTACTCTTATAACTCTGGATTTCTGTCATTGTTTGCTAGTGTAGAAATCTTTTGCACTTACCATTGATTTCTGCATGGTCATGTCATTTAGTACCTACATCTAAGTATGGCCTATGTAAGTAGAATAAAATAGCAAAGCTTTTGTGGCACTATTTTCCCTAATACACTGAGTATCCAGTCAGTGTTTTCGTGAATATGAATGTGACATTGCAGTGCAACACAGGCTCCATGTGGGCTTGCTTCCAGATATCCTCAGTACAGTCTGTTTACTTCCTCATTTTGGCTTTTTCTCATGCTGTTTTTTTTCTGACTAAATGCTGTTGTCATCACATCTTGCTTTTGAAGCTTTAAAAAAAATTTTTATTTCTGATCTCTTGTTACCTTTCTCATAATTACACATCAAGTCAGCAGCAAAGAAATCAACGTTTAGCTGTTCTGACTATTTTTTGGTGTGTCATTTTGTTCCTTTGATTAAATTGTCAGCTCCATAGAGCAGTGCTTCTTTTTTCTTCCCTCTGTCTTCTCCTTGGGTAAGTACTTGTTGATTAATGAGAATGTAGCACATTTCATCTCAAAACAAAGACTTGGGATTGAACCAAGATAATTCTTTTTCTTTCTTCCTTTTTTTTTTTTTTTTTGGTGGTATTGGGATTTGAACTCAGAACTTCCTGCTGGCAAGGTAAGGGCTCTAAAACTTAGAGCCACACCCTCCCAGCCCTTTTTTGCTTTAGTTATTTTTTTGATAGGGTCTTATGTTTTTGTTTACGGCGAGCCTCTGATCACACACAGTCCTCCTACCTATGCCTCCCATGTAGCTGGGATTACAGGCATGCATCAACAAACCTGTCTTTTTAAAAAATTTTTATTCATATGTTCATACAATGTTTGGGTCATTTCTTCCCCCCTTCCCCCCACCCCCTCCCTTTTCCTCCTACCCCCTTGCTACCAGGCAGAAACTATTTTGCTCTTATCTCTAATTTGTTGAAGATGGGAGTCTTGCTAACTTTTTGCCCAGACTGACATCTAATTGCTGTCCTTATATGTCTGCCTCATGAGTAGCTGGAGTTACAAGTCACTGTGCCCTGCCCAGCATAATTCTTGATTAGTTTTCTTATTTCAGAGGATCAGAAAGTTTGTGTGCTTTATATGAGAGGAGGTGAAAGGAGAGGAAGATCTATATTTTCACATGCCTTTCAGATAATTGTGATATGCCCCATAACTCTGGGCATATCATAGAATGACTGGTCTAGTGAAAGGTGGTTGTAATTACCACTTACTGCACTTCTTCTATATGCCAGACTCTGCTAGGTTTGGGGGATACCAAAACATAGACTCTGCTTTCAAGGAAGTCAGTGAAAACTGTGTGATACATGTGACATTCCTTGTCTCCTATTTAAGGTGGTAGGTGGCCCTAAGGGAGAGTATCACTTCTCAGTACTGAATTCATCTCTGCTTTCTTTGTCATTGCTTTAGTACCATTATCACTTTTGGGTCTGTGTGAGAATGGTTGTTTGGAGGATGCCACTGGGTAGTCCCTTAGAGAGTGGCACTGCCTGGTTATGAATCATGGTTTGCAATAGGAGGATGAAACATCTAATACTCTGTATAGGTGGTGATTTGATTCTCCCCAAATTACTGAAGTTGTTATGGTGTTTTCTTTGTTTATCATCCTAGTTCATCCAGCAGATAACACAAGAATGGAACTAATCATTCCGGGAGAGCAGCATTTCTACATGAAGGCGGTAAATGCAGCTGAAAGACAGAGGTGGCTGGTTGCTCTGGGGAGCTCCAAGGCATGTTTGACTGACACTAGGACTAAAAAAGAAAAAGGTAACTATAGCCTTTTCTCCTCTGGTAAAAGTACTTTCTTAAACATAGAAATACATGGCCTTGTTCACTGTTAGTGATCTGTTGTGAAGGTGTAGTCAGTAATGCAGAAGACAATCATCATAGTACAACTTCTACAGTGTGAAGGTGAACATTTAGGGAATGGGTCAGCAAATGTGTGCTTCCACCAGCTGATGTTACAACCAGTAAAATGTTTAATGAAAAGTTAAAGTTTCATGATGTGAGAACATGTCCAAGGTTAAATGATCATTGAAAAGAGCAGAACACAAAATTGCATGTAATATTAGTATTCATTGATTGGTATAGGAAAGGAATGTAAGAACTGATAAAGTTGTTATCTTTAGAAGGGGAATTTGTGAGGAGACTCTTTTCACTGTGTACCTTTTGACTTTATCATGAGCATATAATCATTTTTGAAAAGACTAGATAAAAATCAAAAGCACATAGTTTATGGCATTATACATGTAACTATAATATGAAAACTATGACAGTGTTTATATCTTTATGGAGAGATTGCAGTTGTTTGATCGTTTCTTTTCTGTACTCTTTCCTGTTTCTAAAATTTTCATTGAGTATATATTACTTTTACATTAAAAAATAATTGAGTTAATGGAGGCAGCTAAATTATGGATATTGAAAAATGAAGTCTAAGAATGGAATTTATAACAAAATATGGCTAAGGGTAGGATAGAAGGAATACTCACTGCTAAAAGGCAGAAGCAACCCAAATGTCCATATGTAGATGAATGAATAAACAAAATGTGGTGTATATGTACAATGGAATATTATTCATTCTTAAAAAGGAAGGAAACTCTTGACACATGCTACAATATAACCATAAAGACACTGTGATAAATGAAATAAGCCTGTCACAAAAGGGCAAATATTGTATGTTTCCACTTATATGAAATACCAACAAGAGTTGGATTTATACAGACAGAAAGTAGAGTGTAGTGCCAGGGCTCCCAGAGAGGAGGGAATAGGGTTAGTGTTTAATGAGGACAAAGTTTCTGTTGGGAAAGATGAAAATATTGTGGAGGTAGGTTATGGTAATTGTTGTACAGCTCTTGAATGTATTTAATTCCATTGAACTATAGTCTTAAAAATGATGAAAATGGTAAACTTTATGTTTTATGTATATTTTAGTATAATTTAAAAAAAAAGAAGGAATGGACTTAAATTTGAGCAAGAATTGATTTAGGTTAGATCAGATGTGCAGATAGAGATGCTTTGGTGCATTCTGTCAAAGAGGTTTTGTGGTTTCACAGAAACTAGTGCCTTTGGTTTGGCTCTGGGACTGTGGAGAAGCACCAAAATCTACTGTGTGTGTATTTTCTACTCTGCAGCTTTTACTCCTAGTTTAAAATGTGTTAGCTTGTGAGTGTCTGAGATGATGGCTCAGTATTTAGTTTGCCTAGAATTATTAAGGAGCAGAATGTAAGCTCTTAATTAAAAATTCTTAAAATGTTAGAATGTGAAAATGAAGCTGTGAAAGGATCAGAAGAAAATAAATAAATGTTTATGTATAATAGCTTTAATGACTTAATAGTTAAAAACTCCTGTATGCTAAACTATACAATAAAGAAGATTGAAAGAGAGCTGTCATCCAGAAAAGCATTTGCAGTATATATGCAGATGAAATACCACTATCTTTAATGTGTAAGAACTTCTACAAATTATCTATTTATATATTATTAAGAGGACCATTGAACAGAAGAGCTGGAAAAAAATGTATGAAGAACAAACAAAATGAAACCCCAGTTCACAAAAGGAGAAATATAGGCAGTTTTAGAATGGAAGAGGATGAGTAATGGAGTGGCAGTATCTTGTATGAAACAGGCAGTGGTCATCACCTTGTCTCTGGAAATGAATCTACTCTTAAACTTCACAGCAGATGCATGATTGTCAATTTATCTTCCTAATTATCTAAAGAGAAAACATTGCTCAAGGGATGGATCATGTGCCCTTTTGTTAGGTAACCACTTAATTGTTCTCTTGCCTTTTTGAGAGAAAATTATTTTCACCACTCCTTTAGCCCTGTACAACTCATCTCATAACCCTTTTCTGGGTCTGAAACGGTTGTCTCAAAAAGTGCCATTTCACTGTGCTTTGTATCAGTCAGTGCTGGAGAAGTCTTGAATAGCTATGCACAAAACTTGAAATTTTTTATAATTTTGAAACTGCCTTTTTGATTTGGGGAGCCTGGCTTTTCCATTTGGCTATGAGAGTTCTCTACACTCTTTGAGCTTGCAGTGTGTTGATCTTTTGAAGTTTTTTTTCCCACGCAGTCCTCACTTTTATGTGAGGATTCTGTGAGTCCTGTTAGGTGAACGTCCTGTAGCTTATAGGCTTAAAATGTGCTTTCCTTTGTTGTGTCTCTTCAGGGCTAGTTGGGAGAAACCAGTAGTGCAACTGTTTTGTTACTGAATTGACAAGTGTCTTTCAAAATAAAGAACCAGTCCCTCAAGAAAGTGAAAACCAAACCAAACCAAACAAAAAACCAAAGATGTTTCTTAAGGCCCTGTGATCCTATTCCCAAGGTCTTAAATCTCTTAAGCTTATAGGTATTTGTATTTATTGTCTTATTTTAAAAATGATTATATTTCATTGTATTGCCCAAAGAAGATGAAAATGGTCTAATTGGATGTTTATATATATTCCTTTCAGAAATAAGTGAAACGAGCGAATCTCTGAAAACCAAAATGTCTGAACTTCGCCTCTACTGTGACCTCCTAATGCAGCAGGTTCATACAATCCAGGAATTTGTTCACCATGATGAGAATCACTCATCTCCCAGCATAGAGGTATCACAAAGGGGATCCCCTTATATCTGGTTGTGCTTTGCATTGCACTAGGTCATCCTCCGACCTCCCATCAGATTGATAGAGAAGCATTTTCACAATGAGTTATTTCCAGTTATTCTGGGCTCTTCTTGCTGTAGACTCTGGAAATCTGTACTAATTTCTAGGTTATGTCTTTGTGGCCAGAATCAAAGAATCAAGACCTGTCTTTTCAACCACTGATAATTTGGAGACTGGGATAGGAAAGGAAACTTCTAGGTGGCAGAGTTCATTCAACAACTGCTATTCTCTTTCTTTTGTAATAAGTTTCTGCTAATAACTTACCCTATGAAATAACTTAAAGATAATTATTCTCAGAACAGTGTTACAGTATTAAAAATTGAGATTTATAGGACCTAGTGATGAAATAGGCTCAGTTTTCTGGTGAAGGAGGACGAATGAGTCCTCTGCTTTCTGCGTGAAAGGCCAGTATGGTTCCTGGTCTTTTGCCTAAATGGTAGAAGCGGGGCAAAAAATCCCACTCTTGTGGTCTTTTCTTGTTGGGAGGAGACTCGTATGAAGAAGGCCTTGTTTGGAGCATGTTAAATAATGCCAGCACTTAACTGTTCACCACCGGCTCCCTGGAAATACGTACTCTCATACTGCACCAGCAACCCAGTGTCAGTGGCAAGAACCTGGCTTGTTCTTGCCATTTTTGGTTATATGGGGTTTTTATGTACCAGCCTTTAAGAGTCACATAGAGGTAAGAAAAACAGTAGAGCCCAGGGTGGAGAGAGACCTTCTCAACATGCTGCCCTTGGTTTTTTAATCAGGGAATAGAAATCTTAGAAACTCTGCAGGTTTAAAGGAAAGTAGAAAAAATGATTATTTGAAAAAGGGTTGTGGAGTAGCCATGACTGGCTTAGATCAGTCTATATTCATCTCCCTGGGACAGGACACTTTACTAGTCTGTACAAAATTAGAGTTTTTATTCTATCAAGGAAAAAGTGGGAGAATGGATGTGAGATCAACATAAATTATGCTGCCACTAAGTAACTCTGAAGGTTTTCTATTGGATGGCCACCTTCAGAATTCTGATAGAGAAAAAAATTACAGAATTACAGTTAGGTTTCTCTAAGATACTTTTTTTGAGATAGGGTTTCACTGTGTAGCCATTTGACCTCATACTTGCAATTGATCCTCCTGCCTCAGCCTCCTGGGTGCTGGGATTACGGTGTGCACCACAATGCTTGGCTTCTATGATGCATTTTTGACACAGCTTTTTAACATTACATTTTGTTTAAATATGCAAAACTAATTTTTTTTTGCAGTCCAGTTTCATACATTGTTTAAGAAACAGACATTTCTTACTCTTGCTTTGATTTTCTCAGGTAATATATTTTAAATGAATTCTTAGGGTTTAAACATAACCTAGTAATGTGTCCATCTTTGTATGTCATTTTTCAGAACATGAATGAAGCCTCTTCTCTGCTTAGTGCTACATGTAATACATTCATCACAACACTTGAGGAGTGTGTGAAGATAGCGAATGCCAAGTTTAAACCTGAGATGTTTCAACTGTCCCATCCGGATCCCTTGATTTCTCCTGTGTCTCCTTCTCCTGTTCAAATGGTTAGAAATTCTTGCGTTTCTTCTAACGATATTTTATCTGGGTTTTCTTATGTTTTTATTTTTAAGGATGGAAATAGGCAGTGGGAATGAAGCAGTCAATCGGTTGAGTTGTTTTCAATTGTACTGGTGTTCGATATTGGATCCTCTTAGCTAAGGAGCTCAGCATGTATGTCAGCGTCCTGATTTCCTTCCCCTTGAATGAGCTGTACTTGCCTACGCTGAGCTGCTGCATCCAGCTACCCAAGCACTGTATATAAAAAGCTGGCCACACTCTTTTACTGATAAAAACTTTTACCCACAGTAGGTACAATTAAGCAATGTTTAAAGAAGTTGGCAGGGACTTGAAACTTTTTTCAGGGGAGCAGTATTTTGTAGTCACTATTGGGATTTGAACCAATACTTGGGATTGGAACCAATTTGACTTGCCTCTCTAGAAGGTAAGTTACTTAATCCCTCTGTCCTCAGTTTCTTCATCTTTAAAACAAAGTGTGTTCTATATAGAGGGCCATAGAATATAGACCTGCTTAATTATAGGTGCTTAATGTTACCTTTTGATTATTTTGAACAAGAACTATTTTTGCTGGAGTTGGTGGATTCGTTGTTCTTTTCAAGCTAATAACCTTACTCTGGCATGCTGTGGGGAACTCATAGGTAAGATAAGATTTGATAAAACTATATTTTCTTCATCAAAGTATTTTTAGGAGCCCATTTGTAGGAGGAAGAGTGTAACATGACGATTTTTATAACAATTATCTGAAGACTTCCTTCTTAAAACAATAGGGTCCAATATAATCCTTATTTCTCTTACCCCAGCAAATTTAGTTCTGTGAGATTTAGTAAAAATCATTGCTTAAATTTATTTAGAGCCTTTTTTTCTAATCTGTGGAAGATGGACTAATTGTGTCCTTTCAGATAGGTGTGCCATGAAAATGAGTTTTATGGTCAGAGTAGTTTGAGAAGTTTTGGCTAAATGAGTTAGGTTTTTCTGTTCGAGTCTGATGGGGCAGTTTGTTAGGACTTCTCAGAGACTGCTTTATGCTGAAGTGTAGTATGGATATCTGGGAAGAAGAGGTGGTGTGTAGTGTTTCTGAAATTTTTGACAGTTGAAGTCTTTTTGCTTATTTTTGGATGCTATCTCATAGGACTGTGGTGTTTAATAGAACATAGTTTGACAATATTGCTTTTTAAAACAATTGTGAATATACTGTAATATGCTGTTAAATAACATGCATGTTTGAAAAAAAATCAGTCTTTGAGATGGATGTATGTATACTGCTCTGTCTCTGAGGTTTGTATACATTTAATAATGGGAGTTTTTGTTTTTGATTTTTTTTAAGATACACTTTATAGAGTCAAATGTACTAAAAACACCTCAAAACTGCCTCAGTTTTGGATTGAACTGCACATGAAATACCTTCACAGAAGTCATATGTGTATTTTATGTACAAAAAACTGTAACAACTGTTTCTTTTAAACCAAACTCTTCTCAGTGTAAATATTACTAGAAATCCAGTAAGCTCATGTAGAAAATATTAGGTTAGAGGCCCCTTGTTTTTCCTACTTATGCCATTTTTGCTTGATACAAAAGCAGGAATTACAGGTTATGTTAATGTTTTTGTGGAGACACATAGCATGGAAATTAAGGTTAGGTAGTCTTTAAAGGTAAAATTTTCATTTTTTACTAGTTTTTTAAATTAAAAAAAAATTTTCTTTATTCATATGTGCATACAATGTTTGGGTCATTTCTCCCCCCTTCCCCCCACCCCCTCCCTTACCCCCCACTCCCTCTTTCTCCCCGCCTATCCGCTTGCTACCAGGCAGAAACTATTTTGCCCTTATCTCTAATTTTGTTGAAGAGAGAGTATAAGCAATAATAGGAAGGAACAAGGGTTTTTGCTAGTTGAGATAAGGATAGCTATACACGGAGTTGACTCGCATTGAATTCCTGTGCATGTGTGTTACCTTCTAAGTTAATTCTTTTTGATCTAACCTTTTCTCTAGTTCCTGGTACCCTTCTCCTATTGGCCTCTGTCACTTTAAAGTATCTGCATTAGTTTCTCTGCATTGAGGGCACCAAATGCTATCTAGTTTTTTGGGTGTCTTACCTATCCTCAAACCTCCCTTATGTGCTCTCGCTTTATCATGTGATCAAAGTCCAATCCCCTTGTTGTGTTTGCCCTTGATCTAATGTCTGCATATGCGGGAGAACATATGATTTTTGGTCTTTTGGGCCAGGCTAACCTCACTCAGAATGATGTTCTCCAGTTCTATCCATTTACTTGAGAATGATAAGAAAATCTTTATTTTTTAAAGAAAACAAGTTACTCATAAAAAACACTTCATGTAAGTTTTATTTACATGAAATATAAATAAATTAACAGAACTGAAATATTTAGAATTCCAAAACTTTCATCTGATCTTTATAACCACTTTATGTAGTTAGTCTTATGACATCTATTGTAGAATAAACTTGCATTTAAATTTATTACCAGTCATCATGAAAGTTCAGGCAATTGTCATTTGGACCCACCAAATGAGTGGCTATTGTAGCAAGGATGTCATTGGATGAGTAATCCCAAAGGAAGCAATTTCTGTTAAAGGAGATGTTAATGTCCACTTGCATCTTACTGTCATATTAGATGTACTTGGACTACCAATCAGGTGGGTCATATCTGTTAACCACTTCACCTGGGATTTCCTAATAACTAGTTACTTATGCCCCAAATGTAGAAGGAATTTATATAACATAAATGTTAGATCAGGGCTTATAAGACCCATGAATGTGAAAGCAACTATGCTGAACCTTTAGTATAAGCTTTGCTTTTCTGCTTTCTTGTTAAGCTTTGAACTAATCAGTCTTACTTGGCTGTATACCTTTTTTCCCCCTTTACTTTTTGATTGGATAGTGTGATCTTGTAAACTATGTTTAGTGTTTGTTGCATTTAAATGTGCTGTTAAATCAGATGTTTCTTCATTTTTTAAGTATATGTTTTAGAAATCTATTTGAGGTTTAGGGTTCTTCTGAATTCTTTGAGGCATGAAGTACGAATGTTGCCCTCCACGACTCTTTGTGTCATTTACCTGAATAATGAATGTAAAGAGAAGCTTGCTATCACTCTGTTCCTGCCTTTAGACAAAAAGAGAAAGAAACATTTTATTAGAATATTTTCTGACTTGCTAGATACTCTTTTTTTTAATCGCAAAAGTGACTTCTGGATTAGTAATGTATACCCCGGTTTTCATATTTCTAGGTATACACACATATATTCACATCTATATAAAGTTTGGCTTTTAGTATTGAGAAAAAAATGCAGTATGTTTGTGGTACATGTGGAGAAAGTTAATGGTTAGTAGGGATATTATTTGGGTCTATAAAAGATAAACTCTTGCCTGGGCAGGCATCTTTTTCTTTGAATAAATTTGTGTTATTTGTGGTAATAGTAATAATAATAAGTTAGAAGTGCATTATTCTTAGAAAATCTCTTGCAATTGCTTTAAGTGGGGTGCGTAGGGGGCTGAAGGGGAGAGATGATGGGTGCAACATAACTAATGTATAACATAAGTCTAATCCCCCCCATTATCATAAATATATACTAATAAAAATTTATTTAAAAAAAAGCAGTCCATTATTCTACTTGACATTTGTATTATTACTATTTTTATAATTTCTAGATGAAACGTTCCATCAGCCACCCTGGTTCCTGCAGTTCAGAGAGGTAAAACAATCTTTTCTTTTGTTCAGACTCTCACAAACTTATGACTACTTAGTGAAAATTTTAAGGCCTTTAACACGTGGTGTGGAGTGAAAACTCTGCATGGGAAGGTCTGGTTCTGATTTGCTTCACATAGCATCACTGTGGATACCCCTTAGTGCTTAGTATCAGGGCCTGGCCCTAGAAGGGAGCCAGGAAAGAATACATGAGTGTATAAATTAACCCAAAAGTAAGACTTTGCCAGCTGTTGTACCTTGTTTTAGATGTTTGCAATATGTCACATGATGGTTAAAAAAATTCATATCTTACATATTGAGGCTCCACAATTGAGGCTTATTTTGCCTCATCTTTTTATGGCATCATATATGCATGCTGGGTTATTTTTTTTTTTTAAGAGAGAAAAATCTTGCTGAGAAGACAGAAAGCCATCTGATATTTTAAAGTGTATGATGTCCATATCAACACATTTTAAAATTTGCCTTCTGATAGATACTGCCAGTATCCTAAATCATTAAAGTGCTCCTTATTTCATTAGGTAATATTCTTTTAAATTGCAATGGTTGTCTCATTTGATTATTTTGAAAGTGATGAAACTATATATTGTTTTGTCACATTTTGTTTTTTTATCTGATAATTATATAACCTTTGATTGAATTGTAATGTGATCAGAGGAAGCCAGTGTGTGTATCCAACCCTGTAAGGAATGAAGAGTTTTACCAACTGAAATTTTGAGAAAAATGGAAAATTGTTGATAAGCTTTTATTTTTATAATAGCAATATTTTTCAACTCTATAGAGGATAATCCTTTCTACTTTATGTACCAGGTATAAAAAGAACTAAAAATTTTTTTCCTGATGTATCAGGGTTGTTATTAAGTACAGTAATGTTGGGGTGTCATAAAGTAGACACTGAAGTGCTGTTGGTTGATGGTGATTTACTGTAAGTTTTTTTTCTTTTCTTTCTTGGTGGTACTAGATTTGAAGTCAGGGTCTCACACTTGCTAGGCAAGGTACCCTACCACTTGAAAGTAATATCTATTTATAAAAATGAATTAAAATAAAATGGAAAATAGGAAATTAAAAAAAAAAAAAAAACCAAAAAACTTCCAAGTTTATATGCAATGCAATTTCAGTCTTAATAATTTGGATGTCCGTCTTAATCTCCAGTCCTGGAGTTGGTGCCTCAGATGTTGTTCTGTAGTTGTCTCATCAAAGGGGATGCATAAAGTAGAACAAAACTACACTCACACACACACAGAAGAAAAAATAAAAAAAAAAAGCCCCACCAGTGTCCCCAGTTCAAATGCAATAGTTTCAGTAAGTTTTTCGGCTTGCAGGTGTAATTCGGTTGTTCTCTCATCAAAGGTAGGGAGAAAAAGAAAAAAAAGCGTCTGGAGGCAGTTCTGAGAGTGGTATCTGCAACTGTGGCTTGCCTGCCTGCTGCTCTCAGCCTGTAGCTGGCGGCGTTATTTATGCAGATCTCTGGGGTGAGCTTAGCACTCACCTGGTCCCACAGGCTTTGTTTGCTCAGAGTTCTCCTGTGCGGGGGGGAGGGGGGCCTCTGCTACAGGCTTTCCCCTTTCCAAGCACTGGGAAAGGTGACACTGCCCCGCATTGTCAGGCCTGCGTGTTTATTTACAGTTCACGTGGGAAGTGGGTCTTCCCTCCTCTCACAAGCGTCCCTGCTCCTGGTTGCTGGCGTGCGCCGCTCCCGCCAGAGCCTCTTCGGCCGCCCGGCTCGTTTATTTACAGTCCCGGGAAGGAGTCCCTTCCCCCAATCTTCAGCGCTCAGGGCGCCCCACCCTCTTTCCAGCGTGTCTTAACTGTTCTTATTGCTTAGTACTCAGTTTCTCTTTTTTTCCCTGGTGGAGGTCAGTCTGTCCAGGGGGCTATGCTGCTCTGGCCCAGGCTTGTCTGTGGGGCTACCGCGGTACCGCGAAGCTCACCTGGTCCGCGTCTTCCCAAGCCGTCTGGGTGCCGGCCACTGGCGGCCTGGGGGCCTCCTCGGTTCTCCGTTTAACGTGAAGTGGAGATTCTCTGCACCGGCTGGAGATGTGGAGGAGTCAAAGTTATGCCTTTTCTCGGTGATTATGCCTGCAAAGTGTGTCTCCAGCGTCTCTCCAAGATTTCACTATAGGAGGCTCGCTTTCTGCTTCCTACCTCTAGCCGCCATCTTGGAATCACTCCGGTACCCTACCACTTGAGCCACTCTGCTAGCCCTTTTCACATTGGTTATTTTTGAGATAGGGTCTAGCCTTTATGTTTGCACTGGCCTGGACTGCAATCCTCCTATTTGTGCTTCCCCAGCTAGCTTCCCCACAGGCATATGCCATTACACCTAGCCGTTGGTTGAGAAAGGGGTCTTGCTAACTTTTTGCCCAGCTTTACCTGGAACTTTGATCCTCCTGATCTCCACCTCCCAAGTAGCTGGGATTACATGCATGAGCCATTGCACCAGTTACTTCTGTTTAATTTTTTAGACTGACTTTTAAAAATAGTTTTTCTACTCTACTTTTTGCCATCTCTTACCGCTGTCAGTGAGTCTACCTCTAGCATCTTCCCTAAAGTTCTTGCTCTTCTGTTTTTGATCAGATATGAATTGACTTTAGATATATGCACTTGAAAACTCGTAACTTTTAGTTTTCAAAATTTATAAACTGTTTGATATGTCTGCGCCCTCACTGAATGCTCTAAAAGTTACCACTTTATTGTGCTCCTTTTCCATTTAGTGCAGCTCAGAGGCCATGTTTTCCAGGTTACCAGTTTAATTCTAAATCAGTGGACCTGCTTGTACTTTATCTTCTAAATGAGTAGAACATTCCTAATGTTGGAGACTGGGCATCAGAATTGTTCCTCTTTCACTTAAAGAGAAGTCATTTAAATTCTAGTTGTCAAGGGTGTTCTCATTGTTGAAGGCTTTGTAATTTAATGGTTTTTTTAACTTGCAGGAGTAGCTGCTCTGTCAAAGAACCAGTACCTGCACTTCACCGACTCTCCCGACGCCGAAGAACCTACTCGGATACAGACTCTTGTAATGATATTCCTCCTGAGGACCCAGATAGTAAGTTAGATAGGCTCTGTCTCTTTCTTTGGCCTATTTAGCAAACTTGTTGTAGGACTCTGATATTTCTGGAAATTCCGTCCATACAGAACACTGTACTGTTCTTGGATTAATTCCTTAATTCAGAGTTAAGTAAACCCATGCAATCAGCAACCCTCTTACTAAGAGCTTTGTTATTAACTAAGAAGTACTGAGGATTGCTTTGAAATATCATTTCTCAGATATGTATTTATTGAATACAGTAAGCCCACCTTATTTGAGGATTTATTATTTGTGGTTTTGACTAAGCACTGTCAAAAAGTAAATTTTAAAAATCCAAAGAAATTTGAAAAACAAAAATTTTGAATTCCCACACATACATTTCACAGCTCATTGATGCAGAGCAGTACTCTGTCCTTTGTTATCATCAGTTGTACTTAAATCATTGTGTGATCTGCAGAGTATTTTGCTGTCCTTAATTTTGTGAAAATATGGCTCCCCAAAAGCAAGTGATATCCCAAAAGCAAGGTAAAAGTTATGCTAATCTTTTTAAGTCAAAAAGGGCTTGTAATGTGCTTACTTGAAACGTTACAGTGAAAATTTTAGATTTATCCAAAGGCAGCATGTCGTTAGCAGAAGTTGGGCAGCATTGTGGGAAACACAAATCAAACATCTGCGGTACAGTAGTATTTGCATCCAGAGCGGTTACAGTTTTTCTTCAATGGCAGTCTCTTTGGAACCATATACCCATGGATACCAAGGGTCTGCAGTATTGTAATCTTTTATTCCCACTACATTTGTATTTAAAAATCATTTTAGAAGAAAGCATGAATTGTAGGTAGAATTCTAGAGGCAAATAAAGGTAAGTTCTAAAGAAAAATAGGTCAACTTTGTTACATGACTTGTATGCCTTGAAATGCGTAAGGAAAATAATTTTGTCTGATAGTAGTGGTGAATTGTAATAACATTCATTCCTGTCTCCTTTTCTCACTTATGTAAAAGGCAGCATACTGTGATTTTAGGAAAAGTTGTCTAATTTATGTTAAAATTTCTGTTATTTCTCTGAAGAGAAAAAGCTTTGAAGGTATGTCAGAATATTTAATTTAACTGTAGTGACCATGTTTACCAGTGAACGCCAGTATTGTATGTTATATGTTATTGTATCTCCATGAATAGACTTTTACTTTGTAAAGTCATTATTGCTTCTCACAAAGCCTGTGGTTTGGAAATTATGTCTAGTTCCCAGTTGAGAAACAGATCATGTTCATTTGTAGGTCGGTTGTGTGGAACACAGACTTTTAATTTCTCTTATGGAAATGACTCGATAAATGATAGTTAGATTCTTTAGATAACCTAGAAAAGCATAGCTAAATCATAGTGTGACTGAAATGGGACAAAACAGTGGTATTGCATTTCTAGTATTTGAATATATTGAAAGCATTAAGATAGAGTTGTTTTACTTAGCCAGAAAGTGGAACAGTTTTGGTTAGAGGAGAATGTAGAGTTCATGTGGATGGTGATGATTCTAAATGAGACTGCTGGTCATTTTCAGATGTTTAGAAGTTGATAGTATCTTTTTTTAAAGTAGATACTGTATTTATTGATGTAGAACTTTACTCTGTGCTCACTACCATTTTGACTTTTTTTTTTTTAATCCCTGTGATGCTGAGGCTTGAACCCAGGGCCTCATGTGTGCTGGGAAGGTGCTTCTATGAGTGAGCAACCCTGGCTTTGTGTGTATGTGTGTGTGTGCACGTGCACTGTGTGTGCGTGTGTGTGGTAGTGAGGTTTATACTCAGGGCTTTGCACTTGCTAGATAGTCACTCTACTACTTGAGTCTCTGACTACCAGTTTGAATTTAAGTTGGAACAATGGATAGAAATATGATTGAAGGAAGAGGGGTAAGAATAGAGAGGAAGAATCTTTCCCTTGCCAATTGAGCAATACCTAGAAGAGAAAAGGACAAAGAGAAGAGGGTTAAGGAGGTTGGGTATGCGTAAAAGGTATGCCTTGAAACAGTTACTTCAGATGATGATTCCCCTTGTTCTTCATGCTTTCTGCATGTGACTTTTTATTCAGCTCCCAAGAGAGTTCTGTGTTCTACCTTGTGCTCTTCTCTACATGCTGCTGTTACTTTTTTCTCTGTAAAGAGGATTATTTGTGATGAATTAATTTCTTTTAAACGCTTGCCATTTTTCCTTCTTAGATCTCTTTTTTAGGCAACCTGTTCCTAATTTTTTGAAAACTTCTGTAAGATCTAAGTATACATATCTTGTGTTCAGCACTCACTAATGTAACGTTAAGACTGTAACAAAACTGTTCACACACAGACTTGTATGTATCTCAGTCATTTTCTCTGAATAGCAAGGGCAGAAGTGTCATCCTTAAATTTCTTTCTGTTTATGCTAAACTTAATGTTTTGCTTAGTTGACTAAGCAGAGCATTTACATTCTTCCTTAATAAAGTATGCATAGTGCAATTGTCAGTCTTAGTTGAAAAGCTTTATACAAAAAATTCTTCCTCTTGTGATGTACATCTGCTTATGTTTCCTAGTGTTTGTTAGGTAGGCACTCTACCACTTGAGTTCACCCCCATTCCTTTTACTTTAGTTGGTTTTTCAGCTAGAATCTTGCTCTTTTGCCCATGCTGGCCTCAGACCATGATTTTTCATACCTCTGCCTCTGACTAGCAGGGATTATAGATCTGAACCACCTTGCCCAGCTTGTTTTCTGGGATAAGGGTCTCACTAACTTTTTGCCCTAGGCTGGCCTTGAACCATGCTCTACTTGTCTGTACCTTCCAAGTAGCTGGGATTACAGGCAAGAGCCAGCCAATGTTTCTGTTTTTAAGAAGAGTTTAAAAACAATTTGAAAGTAATAAATGGTCTTGGTAAATTCAAACAATATGTAAATGTATAGCTGCCTTGGAATAGGACTACTATACCAGTGTGTTCAGCGGTGTTCACTTGGTGTTATAGTAATAGTTCAGGGGGTTGTATTTCATATGGAAAGATGAAATGCGTCTTTCAATTTGAGATACCTTGTCAGCTTTTTTCAAAAAGTCTTATAATGAAAAGAAAAAGTTCTGAATTTAGTCTTAGTTCTGTTACAATTATGTGATCTTAGATAAGGCATGTAACCTTTCTTCGGCGGAGGTCTTAATTTCTTTTCCAAGAAAGGAGGATGCTAGCAGCATAGAGACAGCCAGGAAGAAAAAGCAAAAGTTAGGATAGGTTAAGTTCAATTCATCAAACATGTATTGATGGTCCTGCCAACCAGGTGTCTTGCAATGAACAAAATAAAAAGCTCTGCATCAGGTAATTTATCTCGTGAACTGTGAAGTTTCTCTGTATGACTACCAATATTAGAAAAGTTAGATTTTTTTCTTTATTGAACAAACAAAAATTAAGAGGAAGTTAAAGGAATTTGATGTCTCTGAACAAGAAATTTAAAATGTTCTTTCACAGAGGACTGGAGGTAATATCGAGAAGACGTTTAACCTTTTAATCAATTTCTTAATAGGACCTGTTCACTGTTCAAGAAATACACTTAATGGAGATTTGGCATCAGCAACCATTCCTGAAGAAAGCAGACTTATGGCCAAAAACAACTCTGAAAAGGAAGATCCTCTTCCATCGTTCACTTCCTGAGGAAACTGAAGTGTTCAACTTCCTCTAAGTATTGCTATGCAAAAGCTGCTGTAATTAAACCTGTCATAGGGAGTAGTTTTTCCCTCTACTTAGGATTTCTCTGCACTTTATAGAATATTGTAAAACAGACAAACAAAAACAACCCACATACTTTTGAAGTGTATTTTATCTTTATATCGTTTATTTGCAAGAGTATTTTCCTAATAACTTCACAGTATGAATGTGCATCTTTTTTTTTTTTTAAATAAATGATGGTGTAACATTTTGACATCCATAAGGACAGATATTTTTCTAAAAAAACTGTGAGGGACTGACAGCTTGTCAGTTTGTATTGTAGCATATAAAGAAGAAATTTCACATGGTTTCAGTTTGACCAAGGTGTGATATATGTAACTTGTGCCATGGACCAAAAGGTCACTTTACCCTAGATTTAAATGAGTTACGATAGCAGTTTGATGGTGATTGTATTATATTCCTTTAAGCAAAAAGGAAACACTTAATATTCTTAATATCTTTAGCCCAAATACCATGACATGTTGAGCATTTTAAAAAATCAGACTGTGTTGTCCTTCATATGTGAAGTTGATTGACACTACTGATTTGTCAATACCAAAAATTGGGTTAAAATATTTAATTTTTATTTATTTATTTTGTTGCATCAAAATATGACTGCATTCTAACTTCTATGACCTACCAAATTTAAGATATGTATACATTGTTATTTACACTGTTCTACAAAAGAGGCTAATGTTATAGTGACTGTGCTCACTTACACCAGAGAAATAAATGATTGTCAATGGAAGAGGATTTTAGTGCTTCTTCTTTTTTTTTTTTTCCTAAAATAGACATTAAGCTGCTGTTGTAAGGTATTGTTTGCAACTCTTTAGAATATTTAGAGACATTTTTATTTATGAATATTTATATACAAAAAAGGAATTCTGTCAAGGTGACTGTTCTATATCACTTGAGAATGACATTATTTAATTAAAGAGCAAATAGCATTTATTGGTAGTGTCTGTCCATATCTGTTGTCAGTATTTACCTGGTAATCTGTTTTTTTTTTTATTTTTTAATTTTACTTTGGGATGATAGTTTTGTTCAAGGTTTTAAATGAAAAGCACTTTAAACAAATTGGATTGATGTTTTTAAGTTAATCATGTTTAATAAATACATGGTTTTACATTTAAACTCATCATATAATACATTGTATTTTTTATATTCATTGATTTTCTATTTAGTCTTTATTTAAGGGCTTAATTATTCTTTATTGATTTGATTTTGTTTTCATATTCAGGCCTGTGAATACACAATGAAGCATATTCTTAGCTTTTGTTGACTATTAGATTAGAATGGTGCAGCCAAATATTTAGTAAATATTTGGTATTTACTAAAATAAATAGGCCTGCTTTCCTAAGTTTAAAGTGGACATAAATAATCTATATATATTAATATGTATTTAGATAAACTGTGTGCTAATAAAGCACACTCTGTGTAGTCTAATGACTTGACTACTCTGTATAGTTCAGCAGAATCTTCTTGCTGCTCGCAAGTTGTATTTCATATGTCTAATTTGAAAAAAATTTATAGTGTAGATTTTCATGTTGAGTGGGTAGTCAGTTTTTTTTGTTTTTTTGGGTTTTTTTTGTCCCTATAGTAGGAACTTGCACAGTGCTAATAAGACCGTGAAGGTCAGGGTACTGCTAATAGTTTTTCTGGTAGTTAATTTCTTTTTCTTTCTTTCTTTTTTTTTTTTTTTTTTTGAGCTAGATTAACACTGTAAGTTTTTGAACTCTTAGAAAAGAGTCAGATCAGTTTTCTGTTGTTTTACCTAAATAGTTTGTTTTGTGACCCATTTTCTGTAAATATTTAAAAAATAAAATGTAGTCATTTCTGGTTTGAATTCCCCCCCTGCCCAATTTTTGAAGACACTCTTTGTGTTGCCTAGGTTGGCACTGAACTCATGGGCTCAAATGATCCTCCCACCTGGTTTATGTCTAGGTTTGATGAGTAAATTAGTGGTATGAAGCAATCTATAAAACTTAAAGGAATCTGTGGTTTCCCGTCCCCTTGGTGGTACTGGTGTTTGAGGAATCTTATATTTTGAAGAGCCCTGTGTATTTTCAACTGTACATGACTTTTCTGAATTTTAAGTAAAGAGGAACCAAGTAGAACAATTCTATAAGAATTTTAGCTGTATGGTTTGTTTGCAATGTATAGTTATTGGTTGCCCCTTTCTTGCTCTGTCCAGGACATGGGGTTACTGAGAAATTTGGAAACTATTGGCATGTCAGTGGTCTAGGCAAAACCAGTCCTTGCTTTGTCATTTCAGGTGCTTGATCCCTATTGTGATTAAAGGGACCTTGAGAATTTTTGTAAAAAGAGCTAAATTTCAATTTTGTTGCATTACATTGTGTAATTGTATCTTCAATCAGGATAAGACTGGAAATAGATACTGTTGCTTAAACTTAAATTCCAAAGCAAGAGATAAGTATCTTCATTTTCACAGATGCTCTGAAACTTGTGACCCTGAATTATAGGTTTTCACTATGCATTATCACATTTCAAAATTTAGATATCATCATAAGATCTCAGAAAGTATATTCATGTAATATGTTAATACCAGACTGCTGTTTATATTAATTCCATACATTATTAGATCATTAATTTAGACCATGCCAGTTCTATTTTATTTAATGCAATGCTTCTAGGTTTCTCATTCAAGACTTGCTGTTGTGAGGTGGTATAGAAGGAGTCCCTGGTTTGATGAAGCCAGGTCAGGCAACAGGAGCTCCTTACTGGAGGCTCTGGTGGGTGAGTAAATAGTAGACAGGGCTTTGTGGTTCCTTAATCCTCTCTTTGAGTTCTTGCTGAATTTATAAGTTTAAATTATTAGCATTCTTTTTATTTAGGTACTTCATGTACATAGTTATAAGATCAAATAGTGAAAAAGAGCAGGCTCCCCTCCCCCAAATCTTAACATCCCAGAGACTAGCACTTTTAACTTAATGGTTTATTCTAGTGTTTACCTTCCTATTTTAAAATGTTATACTAGTTTTTCTGATTTATCAACTTGAGAAAGGATTTCTTGAATTCCTTTTATGATAGGCAGGATTGGCTTTTCTTATATCCCCACCTACTTATTTTTCTTTCCCTACCCTTCCCAGTACATATTTATAGTTGTAGAATTAATCCATGTAAATATTGTTCATTGGTGAACTGAATGTTCAGCTACCATTATTTCCTTTCAGCTAGGACCTTATTTTTCCCAGAGTTAGTAATTTATTAGGTTTTTCATGTACTAATCACAGTGATAATCCAAAGGCCCAAATGCTAAAAAAAATTCAGATAATCTGTCAGTTCCTTTTTTTGTTGTCATCCTATAGGGGCAGCATTTCTTCCTTGATCACGCTTCTGCTATTTAGACTGTTGCTCTCCTGGCTTGTTTGCTTCTGAGATCCCTTTATGTTTTGATGTCAAGTTAGATCTCCTCTTTTTGATCCTGTGATTTCTACTTTGTTGATTTACTGCCTTTTCTTTTCATTTTTGCTAAAGCTAATCCAAATAGTTTCCTGAAAAGATTCATTGGAAACAGATTTTGAAGTTGTCCAACTCTGAAAATGTCTCTCTTTTTGATTGATGGTTTGAGAATTCTAAGAACAATTCTCCATTTCTTATATCATTCAGTTTTACTATGAGAATTCTGATTCCCTTCTTTACACCAGGGACCCATTTTTGCATTCTGGAGGCATTTAGGAGCTTCTCTTTACCACTGATATTTCATAATGGTGTGTGCGTGCACACGTGTGTGTGTGTGTGTGTGTGTGTTTGTGATCAGTACTTGTTTTGGTGGAGCATTTCAGTTAGATTTGTTTCCTTCAATTCTGTTTGTGTAGTCTTTTTTTTTTTTTTTTTTGTGGTTGTGGAGACCAAATCTAGGGCCTTACTAGGTAAGTGCTCTACCTGTGAGCTACATCCCCTACCCTGTGTTGTCTTTTTGATAATTTCACCTTCTCTGTTTTGTTTATCCTATCTCTCTACAATTTCTGTTATTTGAATGTTGGGCCTCCCAGATTGATCCTCTAACTTAAATCTCTGGAGGTTCTCCACAAGTTATTTTTTGTTCTTTTTGTTATCCCCTAGCTCCACTGTTGAATTTTCTTTACCTATGTATGTTTTAGTTTCTTAGCGCTTTGTTTTACTCTTCTCTTTTCTTAAAGCCATTTTATTTTATAGATTCAGTGACTCTTCACATGCCTGGGGATTATGAGGTTTTTTTTCAATGTCTTTTCTGTTTCTCGCATTTTTCTGTTTTTTCCGTGTTCCTGTTTTCCCGTTTGTTTATTTTGGTCTCTGTCTTTCTGAAGCCTTCTGGAGAAAGTTGGAGAAATTATCCTTTCATATTAGGCATGTACTATAAAACTAACTGGGTTTTATAACTAGGCTGGGTTTATGAGTTGTCTAAATGGCCATTAGGCAGACAGCTGGCCTTTTCTCTTGGGATCCCTTAATTTTACTAGAGTTCTTTTCTTTGGTGTTATTCTGTTTCTGTAGAAATTTGAGTTCTAGTGGTAGGGTAGTGGTGAAGTGAGCTGAGGACCCCAGTTTAGAAGATGATGACTTTTACTTAATCTCTTTATTTTCAACCTCCCTTATGCTCTATGCCATCCTACCCCAGTCCTCCTGTAATGTTGGTGACTCTCAGCTTCAGTTTCTCTTGTAGATAGAGGATGGGGCAGGGGAAGTTGGCTGGCTGTGGAGAATGAGGGAGAGGATCTGAGTGGGGTCCAGTTGCTATTTTTTTATAGACTTCTAGTCCACTTTCAGCCCTGTATTTCACCCCTATCTTCTGCTACTCAGCTTATTAGGGGTTGAGTAGTGTGTTTTTGTTGCTTCTGGTTTGCTTAGACTTTTCCTTCCAGTTGCAAGGACTCCTGTTTTGTCTTTAGAAACTTTGGAAATCTTTTGGCTTTGTACTCTATTAGCTTTGTCACTGTGAATGAATACTGCTTATATTCCTTTAATGTCTTTTTGGTTGGGTTTTAGAGGTTGAGGAAATAAATTCATGTGGGTAGTCTACCATGTTTAATTGAAAGTCTAGATTTCAATTCTAATAGTGTATATAGAAAGTAAAATTTCTTTAGTATTCTATAATTCATTCTTTTTACTCTAGTAATTTTTTTATTATTCACTCCAGTAGTTTTTAATTCATATGCTTTTACTGTACTACCTACCTCATACTGTTGTGAGAAGAAGAATCAGTTCATGAAAGCATTCAGAATAGTGCCTGGCGCACAATATATACTAAGTTTTTTAGTATTAATATTGCAATAATTGTATATCACCACTATCATTCTTAATTTAGTAGCCCATTTAGACTTAAATGAAGATGTTTTACTATAGGAAGGAATTATTAGTATCTATGAATTTAGTGTTTGCTAATATTGACTCTGCATTTAACTAGACTTCACATAAAATGTTCTGGTGTTAAATGTTATTTTCCTAAGAAATGTTAAAGCCTTAAGACATAATAGTTACATTAAAAGTTTTAAAAACAGTATAATGATTTTGATGCACTTTTAAGCTCTACTGGTACTATGTTTAGTGTCTAAATATGAAGTATGGACAGCAAAGTTGTGGGGGTGGTATTTGTTATGCCTTGCTAACCAGTAGATGTACTGTTCTCTGCACATGTAGGTTACAGAAATAAAGAAGTAGTAGATTGTAGTTACTGCATCCCTAACCTTCTCGAGAATGGTCATACACCTTTCAGAAAATACGAACTTCCACAAAGCAAAATGTCTGCATTTATTCAATAGTTAAAATTTAGTTAAACTGTTTTACCATCAAAATGTTTGAGAGAAAGTTCTACTTACATACTACCTTCAATTTTATAAGAGGTTGGTTAGTTTTTTATATGTTAATGTTTTAAAAGAAGATAATTATTTTCTGGGCAGAAGCTGCTCTGAGCCTAGATTTTAAAATTTCTTTTCAGATATTTTAATTATCTTTTTGTGTCTGGGTTAAGGTTGAATGCATAATAGCATTCTGATTCTTTGAATGAAGTGGGAGTAGGTAATGCATTACTTTTCTTATGGATGATGAGCTGCACATTTTGGGGAAGGAGATTTTTATCTGTAAGGACATTTGCATTCTCTGATGCTAAAGTGGAGTCCCATCTTCATAGTAGCTGTAAATACCAGTACCTATAGAAAGGAGACATTT